CTGACAGTTCTGTACTGATTGGGAGAAGAGCCACATGTGAATGGTTAGCTAATGCTATGTGCCCAATGAGTTTTAGCTATTACTGCTGTCAGAGTAACAACTTCAGAATTGAGCGCAAACAGAATTTTTTTTTCTGCAATTGTTGATATATGTTAATACTTTGAAATCAGTATAAAGATTTATCTTGTATACTAATATAAGTTACTCTACAGATCACTTTACATATATTAACTCATTAGTACCATGGGGTTTTGTCCTATTTAAGTCCATTTTATTTTAGTTTATTTTTTATTTTCTTTTTAACTTTAAATTCTGGGATACAAGTGCAGAACATGCAGGTTTGTTACACAGGTATATGTGTGCCATGGTGGTATATAAACGCCCAGGCTTGCCACCCACTAGGGTGACTCTAAGCCAAATCACTTCAACTATCAGTGCCTCAATTTTCTTATCTATAAAAAGGACTTCAAAATCACAGTAAGATACCATCTCACACCAGTCGGAATGATGATTATTAAAAAGTCAAGAAACAACAGATGCTGGAGAGGCTGTGGAGAAATAGAAATGCTATTTCAGAAATAGGTGCTGCACCTATCAACCTGTCACCTAGTTTTAAGCCCCGCATACATTAGCTGTTTGTCCTGATGCTCCCCCTCCCTTGCTCCCCTGCCCCTTGACAGGCCTCAGTGTATGTTGTTTCCCTCCCTGTGTCCATGTGTTCTCATTGAGTGAGAACATGCGGAGTTTGGTTTTCTGTTCCTGGGTTAGTTTGCTGAGTATGGTGGCTTCCAGTTTCATCCATGTCCCCTGCAGAGGACATGATCTTACTCCTTTTTATGGCTGCATAGGTTTCCATGGTATATATGTACCACATTTTCTTTATCTAGTCTATCATTGATAGGCATTTGGGTTGGCTCCATGTCTTTGCAGTTGTGAATAGTGCTGTAGTAAACATACATGTACATGTATCTTTATAATAAAATGATTTATAGTCCTTTGGGTATATACTCACTAATAGGATTTGTTGGGTCAAATGGTATTATTTAGGTTCTAGATCCTTGAGGAATCGCCACACTGTCTTCCTCTATGGTTGAACTAATCTCACCAACAGTGTAAAGCATTTCTATTTCTCCACAGCCTCTCCAGCATCTGTTGTTTCTTGACTTTTTAATAATCATCATTCCGACTGGTGTGAGATGGTATCTTACTGTGATTTTGAAGTCCTTTTTATAGATAAGAAAATTGAGGCACTGATAGTTGAAGTGATTTGGCTTAAGAGTCACCGTAGTGGGTGGCAAAACCTAGGCGTTTATATCCAAGGATTATTGCCCATTGATTGAATGGCTTATTTCAGTAAATAATTAAGTAGAGTCCATTAAAAAACCAAAGTAGGGGTTGGGTGCTGTGGTTCACACCTGTAATTTCAGCACTTTGGGAGGCTGAGGTGGGCAGATCACCTGAGGTCAGGAGTTCGAGACCAGACTGACCAACATGGAAAAACGTGGCCTCTGCTAAAAACAGAAAAATTAGCCAGGCATGGTGGTGCTCACCTGTAATCCCAGTGACTTGGGAGGCTGAGGCAGGAGAATCATTTGAACCTGGGAAGCGGAGGTAGCAGTGAGCTGAGACCACGCCACTGCACTCCAGCCTGGGTGACAGAGTGAGACTCTGTTTCAGAGCCAAAAAAAAAAAAAAAATACACCAAAGTAGGATAAAGAGATCAGAGTACATAAATTACATTTAAAATCATTTTCATAGTGACTATATGTGGCCTTGTAGATAAGCAACCATTTTACCATCTGACAATTTATTCATGTGTAACATGGTCCTTTTCTGTTTTTTCAGCTTCACTTGCAGAATACAAATATGAAAATAAATCAAAATCAACTTCTGTAGCTAGTCATAAAGCTGATTCTTTTGAGCAGCAACCCCAAAAGGAGAATGGGCATGCCTACATTTCTTTGAGAGCTTCCAGTGCTGGCTACCCTGAGGTCCTACTTCTTAGGCAACATATCCAGAAACTTCATTTCACCTGCCTTGGCCTTTCTTTGATTTGCTTTCAAGAGGAGTAGGATGAGAGAAACTGTAGGAAGTAGGAGTTATTACAGAGGAATTTTGGTGATCTAATTGGATGGAATCATCACTGTGTAATTGACATGTCAATATGTTGAATATCTTAATATATGTCTTGCTTTCCCTAATTCAGAAATACTGTCCTCGTGTATACTGTATTATTTATAGATAGTGTTTCTATTCTGCATGGCAGTATAGTCTTTTTTTAAATTTAAAATTATAAAATTTCTTAGAATGTAAAATTATTAGTTGATTTTAAGAGGAAACAAATTCAGAATTTGTCAGTTTTCACATAGTTTGGGTAGGAAGACCTTAATTCTTCTTGGCAGTCCTAAAAAGTTGTTGAGTGAGGTATCTCCACCCTCAGGAAAAATATCCCCCCCCTTCTCTAAATGTAGTCAGAGATACAGATATTTCTTGGAATGGTTTGAATAATAAATAAAAGAAAATTTGTAGTACATGTCATACACACACATGTTTATAGTATATAAACAGAAATCCCTATTTTCTAGAAAGATTTTTTTTTTTTTGGTATTCCAGATCTATATATCTGTTTACTAAATATCTCCATTTATGTGTCTCTAAGTACTTGCCATTCACAAGTAATGATTGTCCCTCACAAACCTGGTTTTCAGTAAATGGAATCACTGTCCATTTGGTTGCATGAGCCAGAAATCTAGGATGTCCCAACTCTGTTTTTCACCTGAGCTGCTTCCCCCTTGTACTTACTCCATTTCTCAAGGATCTTCTCCATAGGGAAATCTTCTCAGACTTCACCTGTCATTATAAGTCAGGTTTCTCTTTACAGATGTTCAAGGTACTGAATTCCTTTTTATTAGTGTGAATTGTTGATTAGTCTTTCTGACCTGCACTCTATTGCAATCTTCATGAGAGCCTGGCTAGTCAGTACCTGGCACTGAGCAGATTCGATTTTCACCATTGCCTACAATTACAGTATGTAACATTCAAGCTATATTTTCTGTGTTGTGAATTCAAACAGTTTTGTTTGCTTTTTGCTTAGTTGTATATTTCAGTGCATTTTATTTTACTTTGTTTTTATTTTTGGAGATGAGGTGTTGCTCTGTCCTCCAGGCTGGAATGCAATGGCATGATCACAGCCCACTGCAGCCTCATCCGTCCAGGCTCAAGCTGTCTTCCCTCCTCAGACTCCTGAATAGCTCAGACCACAGGCATGTGCAACTATGCCCAGCTAATTAAAAAAAAATTTTTTTTTTTTTAGAGAAGGGGTCTCCCTATGTTGCCCAGGCTGGTCTCAAACTCCTGAGTTCAAATAATCCTCCTGCCTTGGCCTCCCAAAATGCTGAGATTGTAGGTATGAACTACCACACCTGGCCACTTAAAATAATTTTGCTTTCCCCTTCTTCTTTTGTCATGTAGTTTATACATTGAGGACTGTTGCTGGTGTCTCTTGTTTGTTTATACTAATCCTAATTTATTGAGAAGTGTAATAAGCAAATATATATGTGGTTATTTTGTATTGATTCATGTACTTCAGAGAATGTATTTTTTTTGAATCTGTTTTCACCCTTCGTATTTTGTTGCATAGTTTATATTTTGAGGCTTGTTCTTGGTGTCAGTTTGGGTTATTTTATAGCTTATCCTAATGTTCGTTTCTTGGGAAATGTATTGAGCAGAGACATACTTTTTGGTAAGATGTTTGGATAGCACCTACTTTCACAGTGCTAGTATAGTGGCATCTTTATCTCTGAAAACACCTGTATTTCAAGATCTGAGAGATCCTTGAGCCTTTGGAAAACATAGTCTAGTTATTCAGTTGGCATGTATTTCTTTCAAGGGATTAATTTTACTCTGGAGTACTGATAAGATGTTTTGATAGTAGGATTATCTCAGCCTTTTGGATGAATTATAAATAATCTTGTATTATTATCACAGGAATAAAATCTAGAAGGAAGAAAACTAGTTAAGCAACTGGTACAGATAAATGAGTAGTCAGTTCTGTTTTGTCAGCGCTATTGTTCTCTCTAGAAATATTGGAAACTGGGGAACATAACTGTTGGAGGAATGCTCAGCCTTCCCTAACATTGGTGATAATATTTCTCTTAATTTTAAATTTAGATCCTTACTTAGTTTGGGATGACTAGAAAAATGAAAATCTTGTTCTCTATCGGTGTCTTAAGTGTCTTCAGAATGTGAGATGTGTGGTTGCTTGTTCCCAGGGCCACCATTGCTTAACTGCTTCACCTTGATGTTCTGGGCGAGTGGGTTTGATGATAGGCCTCGTCCTTCACTATGCTTTACTTAATTCTGATGATCTTGTTTTCCTGTCTTACTTTCTTGCCATGGTATATTTATGGTGCACACACACAGCCACCAGAAACATTTTTCTGTCTCACCATTATGATTCTATCTTCCATGAAAGGGAAGTGAGGCCGTTCAAGAAATAGGATATTCTGGAGATTCTTAAGACAACTGTCAGAAAGTCTGAAAAACTGATTCTAACTATATATAAATTTGTTAGGGCTGCTAGCTCGTTTTTGTTAATGGCAATACTGCCCTCTAGTGTCCAGAAGGCAATTCCAATTTGTGAATTCCTTTTTTAGTTCAGACTCTAGAAGCTCTTAGAAAAATAAATAATCGTTAAGACTTGATTTAGTTTATTTGCTGGCATGAAATCATTAGATCAGTTAACTTGGGATTGTATTGGAGTCAAGAATTTGTTTACTGCCTATCTCTCATATCTAAAGGGTTCTTTTTGATATTACTTTCCTCTGTTTATAAGGAAAGTGTTCCCTGTCTTTAAATAATACAAAATATTGGATCATAGCCAACTTTTAAAATACTAAACCATTATTCTCTTTCCTTCACTTTTGTAACTGATGTGTCATTTTTCATTTCATTCTGGATATGAATCATAATTTCTTTTGCCTGTGTTTTTTCTTCACAAGCACGCCTTTCATATAATGATAGAGGTAAGATGCATTGATGTTTGTTTTATGGTTGTGGAACTTTTTGTGGATGCATACTAAACATCTTGTCCTTAGATTTTTGTTGTTGTTATTGCTTTACTCTGCAACCTCTATAATTTTTACATTTATGTCATAAAGGGTTCTCCCTCACCCAACTTGTATTACTAAAACATAATTGATTTGATTTAGTAGGACTAACAGTATTTATATTTATTTAAGGTAGGATGTGGAGAAAACTATTTAACTTGATTAGAAGTTAACACTTTAATGGCTCCATTAGCCTCAAAAACCTTGTATTGGTTAATTTTTATAGTATGTCATTAGCTTAAGTGTTAGCATGTGTTCATTTTTAATGGGGGCTGACTTGCTAATCCAGCCCATTGTATTTAAATGTGAAATTACTATTTTTAGATAGTCTCATCTTTGGCATCTTTAGCAAGTGAATTAGCTACAGGAGTATAACTTTTGATGGTATTTTGCTATCTAATTTTCCCTTCAAATGGAGAATTCAGAATAAAGAAAATGATCACAGATGACTTTGTAGCTCCCCACCTCTAATAATTTATTTTACTGTTGGTTATAGTAATGATATTGGATAGTGGTTTGGGGGCAAGGGATTACTTTTTACAGGTTATCATTTCAGTATGTCTTCTGAACACGATGTCTTCTGATACCATAATTTTCACATAGAAATAAGTAAAGAAGAAATGTAATCAGAACCATGTTCTAATGCACATCTTTTTAGTTTTGCCAAATAGCATGGATGTTGTAGAGAACTAGAAATTTAGGGAAAGTTTTTAGGAATTTTGAAATTTTTATAGTTGCCTCTGCCCCACCCCCCTGCCCAATTGGTTTCTTTAGTAGCCAGGTAAAGTCATATTTTATGGATGACATCAGAAATTGCTTGTCATTTATGTCTACATTTGTCTTCCCAGGGGCTCATATAAATTTTTATTTTTAGAATCAAGTATTGATTTTTTTGTGGATAAATTACTATAATGATGCCAATTAATTGAAAATCATTTATAATATTCTTAGATTATAGGATGAGTAAAACTTAGAGATGAATTTAAAGTTTCATTCTAGTAATTTTTTATTTAAAATGAATTAGAGATTTTATAATCTGGGCTACAGTTACTCATTTTTAACCCAATCCTTTGAGTATTAAAAAATATTATTTAAAATTACATTGAAAAGCTCATATCATTGCTAAAGGTTTTGTCATTCTACAGGAAGACCTTATAGTCCTTTTTCTCACCCTTTCAAAATTGGCCTGTATTCTTTTTACTTGAAGCTTTTACCTTTTAAGTAATTTTGACAACAGTATTTTTTCTGGCTGTTACTATACAATGTTGAATAAATTACAATAGGAGGGTTACTAAGGTTTCTTTCTGATATAGTGGTATCTTAGAAACTTGTTAAACAGAGCCTTGGGAATGTACGGGAACTTGAAGTGTATGCATTTGGAAAACATTTAATGACCTTTTTTTTCCCCCCAAATGTAGATACTGAAAATTACTGTTTTCTAAAATTAATGTTATGCTAAAATCATAGTTTGAACTGCTGACATATTCTTAATTGTGGATTAAATAATCTATGTCTCATTTTATAGATTTAATCATATTCATGTTGTTGGTATCCTTTAGAACAGAGAATGGATAATGTGTATATTAACTAGAGAGACATTACCAGTCAATGCACACAAAAGTTATTAAAACTCTTAATATTGTAATTTTGAATTGTATTCCCTCTATCTAGTTACTTTTCCTCTTCAGCTTTTGGCCACTTTCTGCATACTTTAGTTTTTGGCATCCCCTCTACTTTGAAACATACCTCTCTACCTTTCTAACATTTTCTATTTTGTTTAAATATGCCTTTATGCAGTTATACAATAACTCTTTGCCCTTGAGGACTGAATGGTTTCTTTTCCTCTTGAAGAGTAGTTTTCAAACTTTTTTCTCCTGTCTCCAGTCTTATAAGTAGCCTGCTTCGATCAGTAGAATCTCTCAGATAGAGGTGATCACTTGAAGAATGAGGGAAGGAGGGCATAGTTTTAATAAAACTCTCTAGAGGTTCTTGTGTCCCCTCCACTGAGAATCACACTTGAGAGCCCATCCTTCCTGTAAGATTTGAATGTTATCTCCTTGACCCGTCACTCTGCTAAACAGAAAGACTCTGGCTTTACCAACCTTTCATGTTTTGAATGTGGGAAGGACAAGTAACTTTGTAGACAAAAAAAATGTCTGAGTTTGAAATGAGTCACAGGAAATCTTCTGTTTTGTCTTACTGTTTAAATAGGAGTTCTAAAGTCATTTTATAAAGATGGTCTTATTTAGAAGAAGAAATTCCATGTTTTTTCTATATAACGCCTTGCAATGTTTCTGTTGCTGAGGTCCTTTCTAATATATAGTAAACTTTAAAAACTCTTGAGTGGCACCAGTGAGCTGAGTGATGCCTAAAGAAGTTACTGACTGTCTTTGAGGCATTAGAAGAGATAAAAAGAAAGGCAGGGAGAGATGCATTAATCTGGGATGACATTACCATTTCTAAGTGTCTGAGGTGCCACCCAGTGTCATCTTATCAGTTGCTTTTGCCACAGAAATTTTAGTTCCTCCTCAGAATACTCATTATGCAGCTCTCCGAACCATTCTGTTGCTTTTCTCTGGAAGTTTTTCAGAAGGCTTCCTGCATCTTTCTTTAGTTGAAGATAGGGAACCGAGAGAATGTTTTCAATGAAGGGTTGTATTCTGCTTTGATAGGGAGGATTCCCTTGTGATTTGTAGATGCTGTATTCCTATTTATATATTATGTTTGCTCTATTTTTTAAAAAAAAACTATAGCAGCGTACTTTTCTTTTGTTTACCATATTCTGTTATCTATTATGATGACCACTTCTTTTCTGGATTTTTTATTTGTGCTTCTTTGCCAGTCAGTCAATTCCAGAATACAGATAATGTTTTACCTCAGAACAAAGGGATGAATTGTTAATATGTTGAAAATTAGAATGAACCAGTTTGGTTAAAGAAATATTAACTGACATTTCTGGTATGTGCTTTATATTTGATATACCTATCTGCAATGTGTTTAAGAATGACTGCGGGTGTCTCTGAGATTAATGAAGAAAAATTTTAAACAGTCACTGGAAAAAGTAGTAGATGTTAAGGAGTGATTTTCACTGATATATAGCCATAATTTGCTGTTTCTGGTGCTTTTCAATTCCTCTTCTAAGGAAGTACAAACTGGATGAAATAAATGAGATACTTTTAGTAATTCATAGTTCACAGAAAATCTTAGTGGGGAAAATTAGTGAGACTGTATCAGAAATATTTTAGATATTTTCTCTTGTGCTACATATATAGCAGTAATGCTGAATGTTACTATGAAAACTCTTAATTCAGGTTGCCTGCCTTGTGATCACTATAGATAATTGGTAATATAATTTGGCAAAATTGAAATGAATGTCATCCATATGTGTTTACTGTTTCTGTCAGTTGACTTTTCAGTACACTCACTTTTTTTCTCATTTTCAGAGTTGATATGTATCATGTTCTGCCTATTTATAGTAGTATTGTTGTTTATCTGTAGGACCCAGGACCACCCCCACCTTCTCCATTACTAGGTTTGAAGCCACTGCAGTTATTAGAAGTGAAAGCAAGGGGAAGATTTGGTTGTGTCTGGAAAGCCCAGTTGCTCAATGAATATGTGGCTGTCAAAATATTTCCAATACAGGTATGTTTATTGCAGTTTTGTTATCTTACATATATGCTTTATGGCTAGGTCATCATAACTCAGAAATAGTCTCAAAACAGAAGCCATATGTTCCAAGATGGTTCTTTGTGTTACTGGGAAAGCAGTTAGCTCTTTTAATGGCTGCCTTTGCATCTGAGAAATGGATTTGTTAGTATAACATTCATTATGTTTGTCTGGAGTGGTGGAATTAAAATAAATGAATGCATAGGAGATCTTTTGCCAATGAAAATTTTATAGAAATGTTTAAATAAAGATTCCAATAAACAAGTCTAATTGAGTGGTTAAATTTTGATATCCCCTTACATTGTCAGAAAAAGCAAACAGAGAAACAAAGGAGTGGTATGCTTTGTTTTAGAATTGCTATTTGGAGGTATATTGCTAGACTTGATTTATTTTCATTCTACTTTGACTGTTTAGTTAGTTTAGTTTTTTGATGCATTTTCAGAGACAATCAAGACTTCAAATAATCAGTTTATTGTTGAATTGTTTTTCTTTTAGAGGTTGGCTGGACCTCTCATGAAACTCTGATCTGATACACCTCTGAGCTATTTTGTTTTGTTCTGTTGGTGGTGTAGATTTATGATGATTCTTTCTTCACTGCCTCTTGCTTATATACCCTGGCGGTTTATGATATCCTTGGTACTGACATCTTGGCTGAATTTGGTGATACAGGCGCTACCACTACACTTAGAGAGTGGATCTTCTTTTTCCAAAGTTGTCATATAAGCAATTTCTTTGTCTTAATATACCTAGATTTTAACCTTCTTACCTCCTTTAATGCCTGTCCAGTCTATGAACTGTATTACATAGAGTTTATGAATTGTATTACATTTTATTTGTAGTTGTAAACCACAGTTTAGTTTTCAGAGAAAAAGGGCATTCTGTTGTGCCAAGATTCATAAATAAGATAAGGGAAGAAATTATTTCCAGGTGCAAGAAAGCATAAAGATCAGAGAAAAACATTTGGATGATATTAACCTTAGCCCAACAACAGTAGCTAACATTTTAGTGAATGCTTTTATTGGGTCAGGTAGTGGTGCTTTACATACATGAGTCCTCACTAATATGTGTATGTATATTACTGACATGTACATAAAATGCAACATATGCTACAACAATCCTATAAGACATACACTGCAATGCCTGTTCTACTTATTGAGGACACTGAAGGATTATGTAACTTGCCAAAGGTTAGTGGGAGAGCCAGGATTTAAGTTTGGACAGTTTGGATTCAGAGGGTTTCTATGAGTTTCTAACCATTATGCCATAGTGTCCCTCACTATCGTTGTCTTTTTGTAGTAAAAAGAAACTAATCTTTTATAAGTAGGTATTTAGTAGGCATGGATTGCTTACAGGCACAAATGAACATATGGTGTCTTAAATTATTGCATTGCAAATCTATGCCACTTGCTTTCTCCTTGACTTTGCAGGGTATGCTAAACATTTTTTAAAGGATGTTTGATGTTATCCTTTGAAAAAAAGAAATGTTTTGTTTTGAGGAAGTCATTCTACCAGTATTTCATCTTTTGGGGAGATTATTCTGAATAGTACCACAAATAACTTCACAACATGATGAAATTACAATGTAATATTTGGCAATAACTTATAAGCAAATGTGTTGCCATTGTAAGATACAGAATGTAGCATTTCGGATCAACTTCTTTGTTTGTAAACTAGAAACACAGAAAAGTATGTTTTAAGGGAATGGACAGGGCTGGTCTTTAGTATGAATTCGTTAACCTATTGTCAGAGCTTTTTCTTATTACACAACAGAACAAAAAGATTTTTTCGTACTTTTTTGTTTTGTTTTGTTTTACTTTGGAACTTATTTGAGTAATCTCTTAGACATGGTTTATTTACCTGTATTGTTTGTGTTCTTATTATTCTTTCCTTTTGACTCTAGGACAAACAGTCATGGCAAAATGAATATGAAGTCTACAGTTTGCCTGGAATGAAGCATGAGAACATATTACAGTTCATTGGTGCAGAAAAACGAGGCACCAGTGTTGATGTGGATCTTTGGCTAATCACAGCATTTCATGAAAAGGTAAAACTGTTCAACATTTTAATTTAGTAAAGTCTGGGTTGGCCTGCTTAGCTAATGTTGGCTATAAATCCCTCAGAGTTATTTTTCTAGACATGTTATAGTTGATTAGTATTTAACCTGAAAATAAAATAATTCTTGAATAAAAGTCTGTTTTAAAAGGTAGTTCATTTTAATAAAAGAGCGAAGATAGCAACTTTTTAAAAAATTTTTATTTTAAAAAATATGGAATGCTTCACGAATTTGCGTGTCATTCTTGCGCAGGGGCCATGCTAATTTTCTCTGTATCGTTCTAATTTTAGTGTATGTGCTGCCGAAGTGAGCACGATAGCAACTTTTTAACTAACACTCTACTCATATAAACCACCCTTTTTTCCCTTATTTCTTGTGCTGTAATTACTCTTATAAACATTTATGTTAGTATAGATAATGCTTAGTAATTTTCATTTACCATTTACAATTCATTTTGAGTACATAAACTTTATTTTTTTTTTCCAGTTTTAATCAGTCTTGCTTAGGGACAAAACCAGAGACAGGAAATTTATCTGATCCTTGAACTCTCACTAACTTGCAGGGTAATTATCACCAAAACATAATTGCTAGTTTTCCTCAATTTTTCTACTTCCAGAGCTAGTGTGAAAGTACCATTAGTGAAGTAGGAAATTGTGTTTTTGGTAATTGGTTTCATCATTGTGAAATATAAATGGCTTTTTTACTTCACTTAATTCTTGACCTAAAGGACGACAGTAATTTCTAGAGGAATATTCTATATATTAGTTGTTTTTTTATGTTGTAATTTTGTGTTCTCCTAGTCTCATGATGTAACATCTCTATAGTCAGGATATTTCAGCTTTTAAAATACTTTCTAGAACTTTAGATTGTTCCATTCGTCTTTTAAAAAAAAATGTGTCTTATAGATTGGTGGAAATTGACTATTCTTGTAATAAACCTTTAAGGTTCAGTGGTATTTCTTTCTGGTCAAATGTTTATTAATGTGAAATGGAAGGAACTTTGAACCATTCCAGAAAGATTGTTTCTTGGATATAATTTTCCCTGAAAGGAAAGATACGCTGCCTTCCATAACCTCTTTTAGGTAAAGAGAAACGTCTCCTTATACATATGGCCTTTGTCGAGAACATAAGTTTCTTTTTTTCCCTCTTTTCTTTAGGGTTCACTGTCAGACTTTCTTAAGGCTAATGTGGTCTCTTGGAATGAACTGTGTCATATTGCAGAAACCATGGCTAGAGGATTGGCATATTTACATGAGGATATACCTGGCCTAAAAGATGGCCACAAACCTGCCATATCTCACAGGTAGACAAATGTTGTTTTCCCAGATAATTGAGTGTATATTTACTGAACTTTTAAGCCCCTGGGTAAATTTTAGTTTCCTCCTTGTTATGCAGTCATGCTTTACAAGACAGTTGATTTTCATTTCTTTTTTAAAATTTGTCTTGAGATTGGCCAGGAAGTATTTTTTATAATGTATATGTTAACATCATTGGTAAAGTTTGATGATCTACCTCATCTCATTTCTGAAAGCATGGTTGAAAATAAATTGTATTTCCTCTATCTTATAAATTATATTATCTCTATAAGGAAAAAGACATTTGTTTTACCTCAAAACATGATTTACAGGGATTGTTATACAAGGGCATGTAATGAAGGAGAGACTTTGAATGTCTTCCTTGCTTGTTTTTTGAATCACCTTATTATCTTTAGCCAAAGTAGAGGCAGGCATCATTTAAACAATTGTCCAGTGAAGAAATAGTACTTAGACCCAACAGTTTTCATGGCCATAAAAGGAAAAAATGATTGTTTTTTAAACACAGAATTCAATTTTCCATGTATTTAATTTCCTTGAACATGGGATTCAATTTGTCATCTCGTGTTCAATTTAAAGATGGTTGTTTTAAAAGTAGGCATTAACTGACTCACGGAATAGATATTTAGTTGAGTGCTACCAGGTGATGTTTTAGGTTGCTGGGGGGCATTATTGTAAGTCAGCTGCTAATTTAGGTTCTGATTTTGAAAACTTTAAATGAGATCTACCTCAGAAATAACTCTTCTTTCTTCTCACTCTCTTACATGCAGTCTAATGGCCTCTTCTTGGATTCTCCCTTGTCCTACCTGGCCACATAGGGAATTAATTCTTAAGAATTCACAAAGTTATTAGGAAAAGGGCCTGAAAGTCTTTTGAAGCTAAGACTGATTATTGGCTTTTATAGCATTTGGGAGTATTTCCTTGTGCTTTCAATATCCCATTCGTGGTCTATGTGTCTGTACATAAATTTAACCACTAGTCATGGCATAGTTACTCATGTATTTAACTAGGGTATAGTAGTTCCTAGGATAAGCCAGTTGAGACAGGTGTGTAGAATAGGATGTCTTATTGCCTTAGTACTGTTTTGCCTTTCAGAACACCAGGATCTAGCTAGAGCAGTGTCTGTTTATGGTAAAAAGATTGGATCTGTTATGCATTCCATAAGATACTTTTCTACAGCCAGGTGGAAGAATATAAGAACCACTTAATAAGGGAATATTCTAAAATGTAGGTCTATGCCAAAAAGCAGAAGACCTCAATTCACCTATTTTCAAAAAATTCCTTCATTTTGTTTTTTAAATTTTAGTTTCTATGGGAGTTTGCATGTAAGAACTCTGAAACATTATCTTAAAAAACAGTTTTATGATTGATAGGTGGGAGACATAGATAACATATCTTTTTGGCACAGCAGATTTTTATATAACTGCCTTATGGGTAGGGTTACTTCTTCTTGTCCATATTGTGAATAGGAGTTTGTCACTGTACTCTTGTGTTTAAGGATACATGGGGGCTCTGAGCTTTTTCTCTTCCCCTTTCTCTGCATTTCATAGTATATATATTCCCCCCCTTTTCACTTTCAATAAAAAATTGAAAAAGATAACTTGTTTAAACTTAATTTGAATACTCTTTTTATTTGCAAGGGACATCAAAAGTAAAAATGTGCTGTTGAAAAACAACCTGACAGCTTGCATTGCTGACTTTGGGTTGGCCTTAAAATTTGAGGCTGGCAAGTCTGCAGGTGATACCCATGGACAGGTAAGGATGATGATTCTGAAATGTAAGAAAAAATAAACTTGTTCCATATTTTCTTAGAATGACATGTTAGGACTGAATTAGTCTAAAATTGTTGTGGTGTTTAAATCAGCATCTAATAGAGTTATATCTTTAAGTTTCTGAGGAAGACATTTTCATATGGTGGTGGAGGACTTAGGTGGTTTAGATCAAGTTCTTCATAAAATAATCCTTAGACGCATGTCATAGGATTCTTTTTGAAAAGTTGATCAAAGAATAATCCAGCACCTTTTAATGGACCTCATTCTTAGGGAGTTCTTCATACTATCTCAGTAGTTTTAGTCTGTTAATTTTTTCACCAGCTTAAGATGAGCAGGAGGGTAATTAGTCACTATCCTTACTACAGTGTGTTAAAGATTCCCTGTCCATTTTCCCATGCAATAATAGTTTCTTGCTTCTCGTTTATTGCTTCATTAACTCTTTAATCAGCCTGATGGCTTTTCTCCAGATTCTCTCCAGAGTTCAGAACCATTGTAAACCCCTGAATTAGGTGTGTAATTCTTCACACCTCTCTGCACTTCTGTGTGCACAGAGATCTTAGTAATGGGAATGTTTTTGAAGGCCAAAAGGGAAAAGAACATTATTCATACATTTTATTTTCAGAAACTTTGAGGTTGGAACAAGATCAACTTTTATTTATTTTTATTTATTAATTTACTTTTGAGATGGTGTCTTGCTCTGTCACTCAGGCTGGAGTACTGTGGCATGATGTTGGCTCACCGTAACCTCCGCCTCTCAATTTCAAGTGATTCTCCTGCCTCAACTTCCTGAGTAGCTGGGATTACAGGAGTGCACCACCATTCTTAGCTAATGTTTATATTTTTCGTGGAGATGGGGTTTCACCGAGTTGGTCAGGCTTGTATCAAACTCCTGACTTCAGGTGATCTGCTCACCTCGGCCTCCCAAAGTGCTGGGATTATAGGTGTGAGCCACCACTTCCCAGCCAAGATCACTTTTTAATCAGTGAAACCAGTTCAACCTAAAAGATGACATTTTCTACAAAGCTAAATGATTCAGGCCTTTGGCATTATCATTTCTTCATCTTTCATGTCATGTAAATTTTTTGGCCAACTAATTCTTAGCTTTTGTTTCCCCAGCATATCCTATTAGTTCTTGAGGTCATGGTTTTAAACAATCATGGCAAAAAAATTTTTGGCAATATTGACTAATGGTTTAAGAATTTAGTTTGAGGTAATGGTCAGTAGCCGTGTAGCTCTAGAAAAGTTGACTGCAAATGTATATGGGAATGGAGGCAATTTTGTGGAGAATACTACCAAGATTGTGTAGGAAGCCTGAGGACAAATTTCTCAGCTAATTGAATGATTGACTATCATAAGACTAAATTCTGGGATCATGTTCTTAATTTGGTACCTCATAAGCCCTCCTTCCCCTATTTTTTGAGAAAAAAAAATTGACTCATTCATGTCATATTTTAACTACTTCATAATTGGGTTCTATGATGAGTTAAAAATTAATTGCTTATGGCAAATGACTCATTGACTTTAGATTTCATGGACCAGAAAATTTCAAAACTATTTGGAGGGACTTGCATGTTATTGCACATTTTATATAGTACAAAGGAAGAACACATATAAAAGAGGTGACATTTTATGTCAACATGGTAGATAAACCAATAATCTTGTAATAAAAAAGGTAGGTACTTTGGATGGCATAGATTTATCTTTAAGAGAAAAGTAGGCTTTAGGGAAACACTCACTGACAGTACAATTAAAATATTCAGAGTAGAAAATTTTTAAAAAGTAGAGCTACTTTTTCCCTTTCATGTAGATTCCTTGAACTTTAGGCTTAGAGATATGTCTTTATTCTTAAAAAATCTCTGTTGCATGTATATTTGCATAAATTGCCCAACTTTTAGTCTAGAGTAGAGATTACAGCCACCTAAGGATGGAGCTTTATGGGCGTACCAATATCTAGACTACTCTCTAGTCCTAATACATCACAAGTGTGTTGTGATGTACCCAGCTATCTCACAAATATTTTTAAGCATTTATATATGAATGTTGTCAAGCACCAACCAAAGCTAGCTGTACTAGCTTAGTAACCATAGTTACAGTACTAAGAAATACCAAATTGTTGGGGACAGATATAAATAAAGGACTCCAAGACAGAAGAATTCATGAATAAACAAATACATAGATTTTGTACAAATAGAACTTTTTAACATCAATGTGCCCTTTACTTGGCTAATTATTTTTACAACATTTTATTAGTTTTTTTTTTAAATACAGAGAAAAGACCTCAAAAAAAGTTGTTTTTTGTTTTTTTTGTGTGTAATCTACATTTCAAACAGTATGCAAAAGTACAATTGAAAAGTATGCAGTGGCCTTCTCCCAGCTAACAGTCAGTTCAGTTTTTTGTAATTACGTCTAGAAAGGGGAACAAAAAAACTTCCAAGTCTGTACTAGCATAATGTCTGTTGATATATTTTTTAAGTATAAGCAGAAAGGATCTTACTATTTATATACTATAGTCTGGTATACTTACCCTGGTAATAGATGATATTTGGTTTTGATTCTTACAAAATCATACAGTGTTAGTTCATAAAGTTAATGAATGAGTACTCTTTGCTTTTAACATCTTTTTCAGGTTGGTACCCGAAGGTATATGGCTCCAGAGGTATTAGAGGGTGCTATTAACTTCCAAAGGGATGCATTTTTGAGGATAGATATGTACGCCATGGGATTAGTCCTGTGGGAACTGGCTTCTCGCTGTACTGCTGCAGATGGTAAGGGAAAAAGTAATTTAAAAAAAGGTATATATGCCTACCACACATGTATGAAAAGGGATGATACATTCAAAGGTAATATTTTAAAAAGTACAGTTTTTGTTTGTTTTTTATTTTTTTAAATAGATTCCAAGAGGTGGTAGAGAATTCAGGAGGCAGGGGTATTCATCCTTTACCAATACTAGCTATGTTGCTGGACACTTCACATACCATGAGATTATTTCCTAAAACAGCTTCAGAGGTAGATATTACACTAAACAGATGAAGAAACTAATATACAGAGAAATTAAGTAGTTTGACTACTTTCGCCTCAAGCTGGTGAATGGTGAAGCCTAGATTTGGAACTCTGATCCATACATAGGGAGAGGTCTGCTTTGGTAAGGCCGACTTCAGTAACAACACAGAACTGTTTAACCTGCCCCCCAGGTTAAAGGGTTTCCATTCTGTGTTCTTGTTATTGAAGTCCAAGTCTTACAGATGTTTGCTTTTATTTATTTATTTTTCTGGTTTAAAAAAAAAAAAAACTTGTCGACTGTTACTCCCAAACAGATGTAAATTAGCTTGATCTGTTTCTTAAATTTTAATTTATAGTTGCCTAAAAACTTCCCTTGATTGTCAACGACCATAGAAGAAATTGTGAATATTTTATAAGTTAAATAACCAATGTAACCTGTGTTACTAAGAATGTTTTATTTTCTGAGTACTGTAATAGGCTCTCATTGTAGGACAGACTGCCACTTGAATGTAAAATTCAATATGGGGCACTATACTTTTAAAGGGAATTTAATAGAGTGCTCAGAAATGGGCACTCTATAGGGATTCTTCTAGGATTGAGGGATTGGCGTGGGAGTCAATCGCAAACCTAAGAAAGGTTGAAGCAATTTGGGAATAATTTTAGAACTCTTTAGGAAGAAGAATAAGAATTCAGAGTAGTTTCACTCAAAATGGTTGAAGAATTACATTTATTATGTGTATTTATGGAAGAAGTAGGTTAGATAGCAGATGTTATAGGAAAATATATTTTATAAGAACTTTATTAATATGAACTCTCCATAGCAAATCATTGGATTAGGTAATTTATTAGACACAAGACCGTGTTCTCAAGTAATATACACTTTAGTTACGGCAATAAAATATATCCTGGACAATGAACTCTGTAGTAAGTCAAGTGTGCATTGTCTAGCCCATTGCCCAGTACACAGGTATTCAGTAAATGGTTTAGGATGAGTGCAGTACTTAAGAAATATAAGCATGTGTTTTAGGAATTTAGAGGAGAAATTGCTTTGTTTTGGGGGAAAAGGAGTTATCAGAGAAGTTCTTTTGGAAAAAGAAAAGGCTAGATACTTTTCTTATATGCCTTGTATATACCATGAAATAATTTCAGTCAGGCATTTCTGACTCTTAAGTCAGAACCCAACTCTTAAGTCAGAAATTGGGGTAGAGAGGACAAGTATGAGCATTGATTGCTAAGGTAGATTTTTTCAAATTTGTTGATGGCTACTTATTTGTTAAATGAAGTTATTCTAAAACTTTCATGTGCATACCAGATTCTTAGGAATCTTGTTATAATTTACATTCTGACTCAGTAGGTCTGGTTTGAAACCTGTGATTCTACATTGCTTAAAAGCTAAGCTTTAACATTGATGGCAATGTTGCTGGCCAGTAGACCACATAAGTGTTAAATAGACACCTTAGAATGTCAGTACTCTGTCATTGGAAGTGCTCAAGCAAAGACCAACTGTCCAGCCATAAAGAATTCTATTTGAAGAGGGTTAAGTTAGATGACCCCTTCATGATTCATTATATTCTATCCAGGAGTATTTAGTGCATTTAAAGAGCTTCACAAGGTTTGTGTTTATGTACACAAACATCTGGTCACTGATATTGCTCAGTGGTGACCTGTGTCTGTATGTCTTTGTGTAAATTGTGTAACTTTCCTGAGCTTATCTGTAAATAGAGGTAGTGCATCTTAACCCTGTGAAGTAAGTAATACATGTAAAGTTCCTAATCAGGATAGGTGCTCATTGGATATTAGTTATTAACTCCTAAATATATTTTTCTATTTATGTGAGTGGGCCTAAGAAGAAAGGAATTATTTATGTTGTTTAATAAATCTTGTCTGTGAAGGCACATCCTGACTTGTTGGGACCCCTAGTTGAAGAGCCTGTTCATGATTTTCTAAAAAATAAACATGTACTTTTTAGCAGCTGTTGTGGGGGGAGTGTAGAGAAGAGGTGTGACTCTGAGGTGCATAATTCCTTATGTGGGGCATGCAGAGGGTTTGGATATGTCCTAGAATAAACATGGATATAATAGATTGAACCCAGAGCCTCCAGAGTTGGAAGCACCACTGTTAACATTCTGATCTGAATTGTAAGGATTGGGTACCTTAAAGGGATATTGCATAACTTTGATTTATGAATACTGATTGTTCCTTATGTCCTATCTGCAGATGGAAGTAGGCATTCTTTATACCTGGATAAGAAAGCTCCTTATGCAGTCTTTAAGGGAGTTAGTTACATGTTAAATTATAGACGTTTTCATTTCCCATCCATTAGTTTGGTCACACTATGGTATAAGTACAGTTGAGAGTCTGTTTCTCCTCTCTCCTCATAGCATGTAAACTATCGGGAAAAGGTGACAGTATATTTTAGAAAGTTTGTACCAGTTTGAAAGTCAGGAAGATTTTAATGAAAATGATTTATTTTTTTTTCTTACATTTCAGGACCTGTAGATGAATACATGTTGCCATTTGAGGAGGAAATTGGCCAGCATCCATCTCTTGAAGACATGCAGGAAGTTGTTGTGCATAAAAAAAAGAGGCCTGTTTTAAGAGATTATTGGCAGAAACATGCTGTAAGTTATCCAGTTAGCTTTTCATTTAAAATTCCAATGAAATACTTTTCAGAGGAATTATTTATCTCTGCACATTTCTCTTTCTTCTGCAAGTATTTTCTGGGAGATGATCTTCACACAGGATATTCTAGAATTCTAGAGGCAGCGATTGTAAAGTTACAGAGCTATAGAGGGCTTTTGTCTCAATGGTTCTGTACAGAAGAGTGTGTCATTTATTTAGAAAGTTTCCCAGGGAAGAAAAAGCATGCCTGACTCAGAAACTGTGGTTAGGTGGGTAACTTTGCTTAGCATCCCTTCCAATATGATGCCATTTTAAAAAGTTTCTAAAGCACCAGGTTTTCTCCTTCCATGGGAGTTTGTTGTAGCCTTTTGATTTGGGCTTAGAAGACTTTCATGTCTTAAGAATGCTTTAAAATGAAATACCAGACACAACAGTATTGCCCTGTTTTTTTTGTTTTTGTTTTTTGGTCTAAATATATCTAGAAACATGGCTAAAACCAGGTAGAGAAATCTCAAGGGTAGTTTTCTAATCTTCTGTTTAATTGTAAGATAGAAATGCTGATGATATTAAAAAAAAACAATAAAAATTGGTAGGTCTTCCTTTATCCTTGATTTTTGAGTCCAGTTGAAAGGTTAGCATTGAAATAACCTGGTTTATGAACAATGGATAGAGATGTTTTTGGAATTAAAAAAAAAATCCTGTTGTGATAGTCTCATGCTTTAAAAAGAAAGGTTCTCTTTGTGCTTTTCTTGATTCTGCACATGGTATTCAATAAAAGTGATCGTTGACAGAAACTTCTTTGACCCAGAAAATAGCAATTTCTTCATGAAAATTTTATTCTGTTTCCTAATAGAAAACAAAAATTGCTGTGTCATTTGAATATGTTTTTCTCCTTTTAGGGAATGGCAATGCTCTGTGAAACCATTGAAGAATGTTGGGATCATGACGCAGAAGCCCGGTTATCAGCTGGATGTGTAGGTGAAAGAATTACCCAGATGCAGAGACTAACAAATATTATTACCACAGAGGACATTGTAACAGTGGTCACAATGGTGACAAATGTTGACTTTCCTCCCAAAGAATCTAGTCTATGATGGTTGCGCCATCTGTGCACACTAAGAAATGGGACTCTGAACTGGAGCTGCTAAGCTAACGAAACTGCTTACAGTTTATTTTCTGTGTAAAATGAGTAGGACGTCTCTTGGAAATGTTAAGAAAGAAGACCCTTTGTTGAAAAATGTTGCTCTGGGAGACTTAATACATTGCCGACAGCACAGATGTGAAGGACATGAGACTAAGAGAAAACTTGCAAACTCTATAAAGAAACTTTTGAAAAAGTGTACATGAAGAATGTAGCCCTCTCCAAATCAAGGATCTTTTGGACCTGGCTAATGGAGTGTTTGAAAACTGACATCAGATTCTTAATGTCTGTCAGAAGACACTAATTCCTTAAAAGAACTACTGCTATTTTTTTTAAATCGAAAACTTTTCATTTCAGATTTTAAAAAGGGTAACTTGTTTTTATTGCATTTGCTGTTGTTGTTTCTATAAATGACTATTGTAATGCCAATATGACACAGCTTGTGAATGTTTAGTGTGCTGCTGTTCTGTGTACATAAAGTCATCAAAGTGGGGTACAGTAAAGAGGCTTCCAAGCATTACTTTAACCTCCCTCAACAAGGTATACCTCAGTTCCACGGTTGCTAAATTATAAAATTGAAAACACTAACAAAATTTGAATAATAAATTGATCCATGTTTTGTAACAAATTCACTGTGTTATTTAAGGAAAAAAAAGGTAAGCTATGCTTAGTGCCAATAGTAAGTGGCCATTCGTAAAGCAGTGTTTTAGCATTTCTTGTGCTGGCTTGTTATGTAGGGAAAAAAGTGCTGTTTTTTGAAAAATCGTGTCATTTTCCCCTTCTTCCCATGTTTTAAAGCCCCATCTTATATCCAGTTCCCAAAATTACATACTTAACTAAGTATTTTCTTTAGGCGTGCTGTGTTTGGGGAATATTTGAAAATTTAAAGCATGATTTAAAAATTTTTTAAGTGAGCTGTGACACTGGAAAGCTCTTCATTTTATCTTTTAAAATAGAGTTTTTTCTATTTATATATGTAAAATTGTAGTGTATTTCTTTTCGCCAAACAATGTGTGGGACGTTCTTTATCACTGTTTTAGGATCACCTCAGGAAGTGTCGTTACCCAGAATTCCTCGCTGTCTGCTTTGAGACTTGTAACTTTATCACTACTTCTGCTTGGTGCCATCTTGTCAGATTCATATTTAATGTCTGTGATATGTAAAGAATTATCCTAGGATAGAGATATTAAACTTTAAGCAGATTTCAGATGTTACTGCTTTAAAACAAATCAGGGATAACAAATTAAACGTCTAACTTAAAATATGCAATGACATTTAGAGGTAACCAATGTTGATACAGATAACATAGCCTAGCCTCCTCCCCAAAATTGCTTTTACAACTAACGCTGATATTAATTTAGGATAGTTCATGCCTTATCCTTGCTAAGCAAATGGAATTGATGGTAGGCAGGTGCCAAAGTGCTTTTCAAAACAATTATGTTAGAATACAATTGGATTCTTCCTCAGATTTATGTAGGCCGCCAAAGTAATACATTAATTATCTGAATTTCCAGATTACCAATCAACAAATAGCCAGTATTATACTATGTATTTCTGTCAGGTCATTTTAAAATCCATACACTAATTTTATAAAAGAATTTTTTACATGTCACTGTCAGGAGCTCACTGTGAATGTGTTGTCTTCAAATGGTTATTTAACCACATATTACACTACATTTTACATATAATATGTACCTAATCTCTGGGAATAATAAATTATGTTATTTATAAACAATACATAGGTCAACAGACTTTAAGCAGGGAGGAAAAGAAGAGTAATAGTGTCTGTGTGCCGCAGACCATTCAGAACTGTCACATGTGTCCCCATGGTCTCATTGTATTCCTTACAATTGCCTTTTCAATGTTGAGTTCAACTCTTTATTTCACAAAGTACTTGGTCTCTCAATTTCTTGATCTGGTTTTTGCTTCCATTTAAAAACTAATCAAGAAGGGAAAATACTGAGATTGTGCATACAAGAAAATTGTTAATTTCCTGAAGATGAATTTCTACCTGTTGTGAACATTTAACTTTCTTTTTAAAAGTTAAAAATATCAAAACAAAAATAAACAAGGGATACTATGATGAATGTTTGGCTTACGTGAGTACTAGAGTACATTTTTTAAAACCAGTTATTCACAATATAAAATGTTTTCAAGTTAGAAAAAATTTTTAGAATTCCTGGGTATTGTACTTAACTGTAGCTAACCAATTTTAAAACTTGTATTCTTTTGAGAACTATTATTAATAGAAAAACTTTTTATAAGCAGTAAAATAAGAATGTTCCAGTGACTACCTATCCTTATACCTAGTCTTGTTAAAACTTTCTTTTGCAGGGTATTTAGTGTTTGGTTTACAGTCAGTGCAGAGTGGGCAAGTTAATAAAATGTTTGAACTAGAGATACTGGAAAAGAAGAAAAATCAAAGAATGAGAAAAATGGTGATCCATTTTGGGGCAGTCTGAGACCCCTCAAATTACTCTTTCCTCATGTGTATGGTGCTCCTCATGACTCGTCTTGTATTTTGCCTTTCTGATACCCATCAGAACTGCTGCTGCTCTAACTTATACTCTTTACCTTGCCCAGATTTCCGCATAAGGAATGCTTTATGATCAACTTGCCATAAGACTGATGGATTAACGAGAGTTCGGCTTTATTTGAAGTCTATGCCCTGCACAGCTCTTGTATGTATTTTAGATGCTAGAAGTTTTTTTAGCATGTGATGTGTGATTCTTGTTTGAATTCTAGGTACCTTGTGAATTCCACAAAAAAGACTGTGCCTCATGATTGTTAGTCCCATGAACTTGCACTGTCTTTCATGGTGATATTTTGAAAATACAATCAGGAAAAAAACCAACATCTTTGGAATTTAAAAATAGAATCTCATCATGAAATTTAGAAAGAATCTCTTCTGTTATGTTTCCTCACCCCTAAGTAAAAGCTACATTTAAGTAAAATGCAGGTGGTAGGGAAAAAAACCTTGGCCAGATGGTTGTTTAGTGGAATAAACTGATTACTGGTGGGTATTTTTTTTAAAAGAAAGAAACTTCATCACAGATACTTTCCAGGTTCTCTATGTTTTTGAAAAATTACTTTTTAGGAACATTTGGTATGATGTGCATAAAATTATCAATTTATAGGCAAAATGATACAAGTAGCATCTTGATTGAACATCATTTACCTCAGATATTCAACCAGCGGTACGTTTTTTATGCAGTCTCAACCCATATCCCATTTTGTTACCTCTCAGAATACTGGTAAGCAGTTACTTTCGCTTTACTCTGGATTTCTTGTGTTTTGGGCACAGGTTATTGTACTACTGTCAAATCGTACTTGCTATTTTTTCTGCAAGTATTTAACAGAAAGCTTAATATCCCCATAAAACCCCACCTTGGATAAGTGATTGTTAAATATTGTACAAATAAAGTGTATGCTATCCCCATTCCATCCCCAAGTTAAATAAAAAAATGAATATGGTATTATTTGCATATGCAGTTTTTCTTTAGCTATGTGTTCTTAAAGAGGGGAATAGTAGCTTTGTAACTTACAGTGAGGTTTACACCTTGAGAACTGCAGGAATGAGGATAGGTGGTGAGTGAAGGTTGATTTGTTAATTATGGCATTTCCCTCTATTGTCATCTAAACAAATTATATTCCCACTCAAGTATGTGTGTTGGTCTTGCCAGTGTTAGGAAGCCAGAGGCTTGCTGGCATTGTGTCACACAGCACAGTTGATTCTCAGATTTTCTAGGGTAAAGGTGAAGGAAGGGGCAGCACTTAGGTTAGAAACTGAATTGCTTTCTAAGCCAAATGAGAATGAAAGCCATGGGGAAATATGCATGGAAACTACAGAAAGACTCAAGTGTTTCTTACTTTTTTTTCTCCAAAACAGTGATTCATTAGGACATTCATAGGTATTACATTTTCAACATCGATAGCATTATGATATAGTAAGTTTGGACCAAACAGGTATTAATTCCCCAGAGCCTTTCACATGCATGAGAATCAGTCTTTTTAACAAGAGTTTTGTTTCTGGTGGGCCACTTGGAGGGAACACAGGTGTAAAAACACACTGAAATATTCCTCCTTCACCTGCTTTTCAATCTAATTACTTCAGGTTGGTAAGCAGCTATTTTCGCTTTACTCTGTATTTCTTGTGTGTTGGGCACAGGTTATTATACTACTGTCAAATCATACTTTGTTTTTTTTCTGCAAGTATTTAACACAGTAAGGGATCATGAGTGTTTGTTCTATTTTTCCTCCTCTAGTAAATGAAAATATCTTTAAGCCATATGTATAAGTTTACATTATTCTTGAACCACTTTTTAAACTAGGGTTTTTCAGATTTGTTTTTATTTTATTGATGACAGTTTAAGCAATTTAAGAGACGAAGTTAGCTCAAAACTCTTGCAAAACACATTTTAGCTTCTTCGTATGGGGGAATATGGAAAGGCCAACAATCAGCACTGCTCTTCCCCATAAAAATGCCTTGGGAGTATAATAGGCATGTATTTCATTCGTGTAACTTTTCCTAATCTATTTTTTTAAAATTTGCTTTATAACTGTTTCATGTTTACCTAATTGCTACTTAGTTTTAACATCTGTATACCTGGTTATTGATGGATCATCTCTAGCTTTTGTGTAGCCAAGCAGAGAGATGAGGGCTGTCAGCTTTTAAGTTATATCTTAACAAGAAATCGCAATCCTCGTCATTTTATGAGGGTGTTACCCTTTAAGACAAATCATACTTCTCCCTCAAATAGTTTAGAAAAATTTTTAAATGGTCAGTTAAGAGCGTAAATGTAAAATTCTTGCTTCTAGTGTATAATAGTGATGTTACCATGCTAAATATTTTGGTGAAACATGTAGACGATGGCATAGACTCAGTATGCAAGCCTTAGCCTGAATGGAACTGCTGAAAAGTAAATGATGGGGATCTGAAGACTTAGAAGGCTTAACTTTTCACAGGGAAGGAAAGGCTATGTAAGAGTAAGTTGTAACTACTGATGAGCTACTTTTATGGACAGAAATCTTTTATTCTACTTTGTATCCAAGACTTCATTAAAACATTGCTCCTTAGAGCATACTTTAAAAACTACTTGGGAAGGAATCCACTGTCAAACTTCATGTCTTAATAGGACTAGCTTTGGTGTTAAACTGAGTTGAATTCCAAGCCTGTTGGGCATTCCCAGCATTGCCACTACTGTGTTAATTTTCTGATCTGTGAATAACAGTGCCTACATCTCACAGGGCTTCTGACAGTTAAATGGCTTGTATGCTGCACAAGCATAGGGACAGTCTGTCTTTTGTAAACCTCCCATGCACACAATAGGCAATCAATCAAATATTCTTGAACAAATGAAGTCATTAAATGCTTATTAAATTTCATTTTAAATATATGCTTATGTTAATTCATGGATCTTGAAACTTAAGACAATGCTGTGATTGACATGTCCACATTCCTCATAGGGATTTTTTGAAACAAACCGGTTTAGTTAACATTGCCATACATGTCTTCCTACTTTTGAGAGTGATTTTCCAGAAATCTCTGGTACAGTCATACGTCACTTCGTGATGGGGCTATGTTCTGAGAAATGTGTCTTGAGGTGATTTCATTATTGTATGAACATCACAGAATATACTTAAACCCCAATTGTATACAGCCTGTTACACAACTAAGCTATACATATAGCCTAGCCTATTACTTTTAGGCTACAACACTGTACAGGATGTTACTGTAATCATATGTAGGCAACTGTAACACAATGGTAAGCATTTAAATATTTAGACATAGGTAAAGTAAAAATATGGTATTATCATCTTATGAGACCACCCTCATATATACAATGTCACTGATGAAAATCTTATGTGGTGCCATGACTATACTGGTTTAGAAGGCAAATTGCAATCCTTTTGACCTATGGTAGGCTCAATAATCTGGATTTTAGAAAATCCTACAAGGGATTTTGATGTGGATGGTATGAGTACCACATTTTGAGATGTCTAGAAGAAAAATCTTCAAATTCCTTGGCTTTTTTCTTCCAGGTGAACCACCCTCTGACTAAGCTGGTTAGTCTCCTGAACTAGAAAACCTGGGTCTGGGATAGAATCCCTAATTTGCATGTGGACAGAGAAAAAAAACCCTGCACCATCCCTACTGTACCAAAGGTTACTTATTACACTTCAATTCTTACTTTTTTTTTTTTTTTTTTACTCCTTTGGTTTAAGGTTTGTAAAGAGATTTACTGTTAGGTTGAATTGAGTGAGTTCTTCAAATAGATGTGTGTATGTGTGTGTGTGTGGGGGGGGTGCACATGGTCTAGTCCCTAAGCAGTCATATTTTATTCTTCTGAACTGCTACTTACAAAGTAATCTCAATCACTGAAATGATAAATCATGTAACTATTAAAAGGCAAGACACAGCCAAGACAGTACACGTTCAAGTCTCACATAAGTACAAAAATATTTATAAAATGTTTAGCATATCATGTTAAAGGACAATGGTTTTTCATTCTCTAGAGAAGTATGAATGAAGTGCCAAAGTTGAAGTCACTGGTGATATTCATAACCAGCTGAGAGAGGATGTTGCCCACTGCCTCACATCTGTAGGACAGTTGGGATATTTCTGCAGAGCATTCATAATTTGAGTATTATCCAAAAGCAGTTTCATCAGCTGGTACTCTCTCTGTGAATTTCCTGAAGTTCTTTCCACGGGCTTTATTAATTCTAATTGTTGCAAGTGTTCAAAAGCCTGATAGATGAAAGAAATAGTTTAGGTTAAATAGGAGAGGAGAGTAACAAAGTAAACTCAGAGAAGAGTTAGCATTTTGGTCAGCTGCAGAACAGAGTAGGAGGAAACAAAATGTTAACAGCAATCATAGGATTCAAAAAACTCTCACAACTCCATAAAAACTCCTATTATCAGGTAAGAGTGTTAGTGCACACTTACTTGTCCCTGTATTGTTGAATGTAAACATGGAGAACTTTAATTCAGAATATACGATATGGTTTTCTTCCTAGCCTCATTATCATAGCTCCTCCTAGTACTTTCATTAATAGTGTTTCCAGTTCTCTATAAAAACCTAAGAATCAGGTAAGATTTTCAGACTGATAAGCTACTCAGATTTACATTTATAGTTTGTCTCTACCTTTGTAAGACTTTGCTATGTAAAAGGTTAACACAACTAACAAAAAGGGAGGCAGAAAAAGACCCTTGAGTCACTTAAGCATATTCAGCTGATCCTGTAAGAAAAAGATTCAGCAGGGTAGTATGGACATGGAGGAGAGAGGATAGGCTCCTATTTCTCTAAGAAGTCTGACTGAGGCAGTCACAGCCTTCTTCCATCTTCCCCATCTTACTAGGGTTCTTTCCTGTCTGCTTCCTCTTATTCTTAATATTCACGTATTATGTCTTTTCTAACCTTGAGTGTTGTGTTAGGTATGTTATTAGGGTATGAAAAAAATAGAAACCATTAACTCATGATATACTAACCATTAATAAAGACACAGTGAAATAGATTCCTGAGCATTCTATTATATTCTTACAACTCACTGTAAAAATCATCACTGGAACATATTCTCTATATATCACATAAATTCTTCGAATAGAGAAAACAGCTCAGATACCATTCATATCTAAAAATGAGAAAATACTGGAGGCTGCAGTGCAGGTGTTAGAGCTGAATAGAACTGTACAGATTTAAAATATTTCTAAACAGCAAAATAAGTCCTTATTGAAAATGCAGAAACGAGCAACTACAAATTATTAATAATAATTTAAATGCTTGAGTAAACTTTTCATTTTCACAACTCTCACAAACTAAGACTATTGGGGAAAAAAATCCTCCAGTGTTGTAAAATATTTTTCCTGTTTCTTTGAAGAAATGGCAATGCTCTGTACTCATTTTTGTTACTACAAGAGATGAAATTCTAATTACTAGGGCCTATAAGTGATACCAAAGGACTCGGGGGTCCACTGTTTTAAAAAAGGTTTCTTTCCATAAAATGCAGCTTAGAGTTGCACTGTCACACTAGGCTACTGAACAGTTCAATGTGGGACTCAATTGTTATTTAAACTTAAAAATGGATACTCAGTTCTATTAGAAAATTCTGAGCATGTTTAGAACAATTTCAAAATGTAAATTTACTTTCTCAGCTATAAATTTTATAGAATCTAAACAGCAAGAATTTCCAATGAATATTTAAGCAATTGAGACGTGCTGTAAGTATAAATGCATACCAAACATTAAAGACTTAATTCAAAAGAACGTAAAACAAAGTACTTTATAGTTTTTCTATAATGATTATAGATTGACACATTTATGATATGTTGAATTAAAAATATAATTAAAATTACACCTTTTAAATTTTCTTAAAGGTACTAGAAAATCTAAAACTACATTACCTGGCTCACATTACCTTTGTAGTGGACAATGGTAATCTATATGAAAGTCCTCAAGTTCCAAAACTCATGACTCAGTCCCCAAATAACACTTTCTCTGTATGCCCTCAGAGGCCAGTAAGATTTTGTCTTTTAAGTTTCTTAATGGCTCTTAGTTTCATTTTTTTCTCATTTTATTGCTCAGATTATAAAAGCCAATCCTTGGGTTGGAAACGGAAAGGTGGTATCACACACTATACTGAAGTTGTTTTCAGGATGCAAGTGCTATGAACAGACAGCAGAGGGCAGTATAATTCCACAAACTAAAACAATTGGTTGCCTCAGATTTCTCGAAAATATTTCATTTTTAGATAATTTTCTTGTTTTGAAAAAAATCTCTATGATAAATACTTAATGTTTAAAAATTGATGAAAGTGCAATTTTAATACATAATCAAATTGGGTGTAAAAAATATACTTTGTAGAAAAATAACAGCAAACTAAATCTTACCTTCATGACAACAGGTTTTTCAAAATTATAAACAGAATGCGCTTTTCTTTGAACAAACTTCTGAAACTCTGGGTAGAAAGCAATGACAATATTATATCTTCACATAAGCAGTGAGTATGAATCAGAAAAAAAGCCACTTAAGTCTCATCTCACCATTATAGACCATTTGAAAATTAAATGGCTCCTCCTCATAGATGTCATTTAAATGTTTCATTGCTATTATAAGACAGATTTCCAAGACTGATAGACCTATAGTAAAAGGGAAAAAAGCTATTAGTTTAGTGACACAGAAGACTAAAATAACTGTTCTCCAAAGAGTACAATATAGTGAAAGATCTATGGTTTTGAGGAGTGAAGGTCAAGATTCTTCTAGATTTCAATGTGTTCCAATCTATTATCTATATAAATTTAACTAAGTTACTTAACCTCCCTGAGCTTAGTTCTTCATCACTTCAAAATAAAGATATTTTTTAAACTTTTAGAAATGTCACAAAGATTAGAGACAATTTATCAAGCACTCACCATATGGCCCACAGTACACAACAGAAACTTCAATTGTTATGTGACTTTAAATCACATGGGGCCTTTGGGTAGGATTTATCTAGACTTCCTAAACTCCTGGAAATTATATTCAAATTTGTGTTTTCCTTTTATCCCCTGGAGAAGAAAAGGTTCATTATATTTGCAAAAGGAAATAATGAACCCAAAATGGGTGAAACCCAGTGAATGCTCTTCAGTGATGTTTTCAACCCAGTGAAAACATCAGCAACATAGTTTTACCTGGATTTCCAATGTAGCAAAAGAAGCAGAGCATCAAGTTTTTTTTTGTTTTGTTTTGTTTTTTTACTTTAAATGGAAGTGATAGTACCTTTAAAAGGACTAAGTTAAAGGCTATATGGAGACAAAAGTATTTTATAAAGTATTATGCCCATGTTAATTGTAATTTTAAGAAGCATTCCATTATCTAAATTCAAACTTTAAAAAAAAAAATTTAAAAAAGAAATTAATAAAACTGGGTTCTCACCATGTACAATATTTGCTTTTGAGTCCATGCTACACAGCTGGCTTGCTTCCATTAGATCTATAGCAGTCATAAATGGGTGTGATGCTGTTACTCGATTTAAAGAAAGCATCTAGGGAAATGTGGATCAGAAAAACAATTACATATTTACATGGGCGTTTTGGAGACACTACTGTGTAAAACTTCTGAATTTGTATAGTCAATTCTTAAGGGAGAGTAAATATTAATGCTTAGGGAGGTATTCTCAAATTCAGTCCTATTAAAATACAGTATTTGAATTTATATGTCATATAACTGCAAATGTAAAGCATAAAAACAATTCTTGCTGCTCTCTTTAACCCATTCCATTTCCATATCTTGTTTACTTAATGCTTGGAAGAACAATATTTAAAGAGGAGTAGAGCAAGCAGAAGAAACTGAAAATAAGTAAGAATACTTACTAATAAAAGCCCCAAACACAAGCCCAAAAGGCAGATCTATGCCTTACTTGTAAATTTTTTCACCACCCAGTCATCCAGCCAGGTGTTCAGTTAGACAGAAGTTAGCTATTTTATGTTCAATGGTACAAAAAAGAAAAAAAAAATAGCACATTTATACTCAGGAATAACTCTCCTTGAAAACAGAGTCTACTTCTCTTGTGCTTGTTATTTAGTTATCCAAAAATGAACAGAGGTCCTGGACCAGAGTTGCTACTCAAGTATTTAAAATTTTCCTTTTTTCTTTATTTATAGGTTTCATAAAAGTTATATTTGGTTATTTAGAGTTAGAAGACTGAGCAGATAAAAAACGCAGGACCTCTGGTTAAATTTCAATTTCAAAGAAACAATAAGTAGTTTCTTAGTATAAGTGTGTGCCATGCTTTTATATTTGGGACATAATTATACAAGAAACTCTCTCCTCCACCTTAACTAGGGCACAGGTGATTAGCTGGGCAAAGAGTTTGGCAATCCCTGTCCTTCATTCTCCTGCTGGTTTGGACCCAGTTGGCTAGTGTTCCCTCCCTTTGTCTCTCCTTTCCTTTAATTATGAAAATTTTTTTTAATTTTAATTTTTCCATAAGTTACTGGGGGTACATGTGGTATTTGGTTACATGAGGAAGTTCTTCAGTGGTGATTTGTGAGACTATGGTGCACCCATCACCTGAACAGTAAGCACTGCACCATATTTGTAGTCTTTTATCCCTTGTCCTGCTAGAAAACAGTGTGAACATTCTTTAAAGAACTAAAAGTAGAACTATCATTTGATCCAGCACTCACACTACTGAGCATCTACGCAGAGGAAAAGAAGTCATTATTTGAAAAAAGATACTTGCACATGCATGTTTATAGCAGCACAATGCACAATTGCAAAATCACAGAAGCAACCCAAATGCCCATCAATCAAATGGATAAACTGTGGGGTGTGTATTTACACAACTATTGAATACTATGCAGCCATAAAAAGGAATGAATTAATAGCATCTGCAGTGACCTGGATGAGACTGGAGACTATTATTCTAAGTGAAGTAACGCAGGAATGGAAAACCAAACATCGTATGCTCTCACTGATATGTGGGAGCTAAGCTATGAGTACATAAAGGCAAAAGAATTTTTTTTAACATATACGAAGGCAACAGAGAATAGTAAATTGAATATCCATGATACTTTCCCTGCTCAAGAAATATGATGTTAAGACTTGAAGCCCATCTCCTCCGGATTGGACTCTACTCTTCTCCGCATAAAACAACCAAGTATGTCTATATTATTAGGTCAGTGCAAAAGTAATTGCCATTTTTGGCATTGAAAGTAATGATACCTTTTGCACCAATCTAATTCAGTATACTACTACATATACATTTATTACACAACAGTAATTTTCAAATTTTATATAAATATTGTACCTTCACAACTCTCTTCACTGAACATCTATTATGAGATTCTATCTATGTTGAGGCAGTATCAATTCTGGTTTATTCATTTGTTATATTTATTTGTATATACCCGCAATTATTCATTTCCTAATTTCCTACTGATAGACATCTGTCATTTCTTCTTCCTTTTTTTTGTCCCCAGTCATAAACAAGGCTGCAATAAGCAACCTTGGACATGTCGTCCTGTGCATTAGGTAACTAGAGTTTCTCTAATTAGTATAAGTATGTTTCTCCAGTTACCTAATTTGCTAAATTGTTCTCCAAAGCACATGTATTTACCTTGGCAGCAGTAATAAATATTAATAGTCACAGACATGTTACCATCAAGCATAACCTTTGACACCCACTAGATTGGCAAGAAAAAAGTTTAATTGTAGTATTTCTCTGGTTACTGGAGAGGCTAAAAATCTGTAATCTACAATGAACTTCCTCAATGACAATCAATAATGGGATGAGCTAAGAATATGAGTAAGCAGCCCTTAAAGAATCCCATATGACAAAAAAGTCATTATTAAATTCATTACCATGAATTAATAATGTAATAGAAAAATGGCAAGACAATGGCTGTTAATATTGACAATATTGAGGCAGATATATTTTCCCAGATGGAGATATATATATTCCTCTTCTAAAAATTATTAGTCCCCAAATTACTTGATGATAAAGATAGCTGTTGCTGAAAATGGCAGTATCCTTTTCATAATAGAGGGAAAATATATAGGATAAAAAGATTTAAATTTCCTTGCAAAAACAGCTGAGGAAAGAGAACTTGTATATAAACATGGGTGAACCATACAGCCAAATAGGACACAAACTTGAAGTCAGAGAGCTCTGGATTGAGTCCTGGCTTTGTTATCTACTAGTACTGTGACCTTGGGCAAGTTATTTAACTTTAAGGAGACTCAATTTCTTTAAGGGTAAGGATAAAAAGTAAGATTATTCCAATGGTCAGAAATAATATAGGTACTACTAGTATCTACAGTACTTGGCTTATGTGCTACTCAATAAATGGTAGCTATTATTCTATTATTATTATATAAATGACCTTTCTACAAAATCAAAACTATCTTCTGTTTGAAAGGTATTTGCCATAGTTTTCTAGAAATATTAGACTAAAACCAAATACTCTTAGTGAAGAAAGTTAATTTGCAGAACAATTAAGTACTTCTTGTTTGATATTGGTATTATGTAAGCTTAAGCTATAATTACTTGGCAAAACATCATGACCAAGTAGGATTTATTCCAGGTATATAAGGCTAGTTCAATACTCAAAAAATAATGTAATCAAATATATCAACAGGATAAAGAGAAATATGATCATTTGACAAAATCCAACACCTATTTATCATAAACTCTCAGCAAGTTACAAAGAGATGAGGATTACCTGTACTTGATAATGAACATGTATAAAAAAACCTATAGCTAACATCATACTTAATGGTAAAAGTTTGAATCCTTTCTTCCCAAGACTGGGAACAAGAAAGGATATCCACTCTCACTCTTTAATACAACCTAACACTGGAAATTCTAGCCATTGCAAAAAGGCAAGATAAGAAATAAAAGGTATACAGATTGGAAAGAAAAACAAAACCTCCTAGAATAAGTGAGTTCAGCAAAGACTATGAGATCAACACATAAAAGTCACATTTCTATATATATTGTGTGTGTGTATACATATATATTACATATATATGTATGTATGTAAATATGACATATTCTGTATGTAAAGAATATGTGGAAACAAAAACCTCAAAACACCATTTACAATTGTTTTAACAAAAATTAAATACTTAGGTATACACATTAAATGATCTGTGTAGTAAAAACTAAAATGCTGATGAAAGTAATCAGACAAGAAATCAAATAAAAGGAGATATGAAGCCTATTCCAGGATTTGCAACACTCAATGTAGTAAGCATGTGGATTCTCCCAAAATTTACCTACAGGTTTAAGCAATTCCTATAACAACTTAATTATCTAGTGAAAGATAGGAAATGATAAGAGTAGGTAGGCTGAGCACAGAGGCTGATGCATGTAATGTCAGCACTTTGGGAGGTAGAGGTAGAAGGATGGCTTAAGGTCAGGAATTCGAAACCAGTCTGGGCAACAAAGTGAGACCCCGTTACTATTAAAAAACAAAAAAACATCAACAAGCAATAAAAACAAAACTAATACAAACCAACAGCATGTGTAATGACCGCAGGTTTTTGCTGATATTGAAATGCTTCTGTAGTACTTCCTGCACACTTCTCTCTTCTGAGAGACACTAAAGGAAAAAAAAAAGTCAAAACTGAGGAAAGATGTGGTTTAAAACCTATATAATCCTGTGCCTTACTGGTTAGTGTACCTTATTAACTCTATCTAATATTAATTCATTAGTAAACAGATGTTGGTCTTTTTTGTAGAACACTAAAATCAAAAGAAACTTTCCAGTCTACTGATTTTCCTATCATGTTCTTTACATTAATTCAATGAACACAATGACGAAACAATCCTTGCTAACCCGAAACTTCTACTTGAATAAGGGAAACTACACAGACATACAAGTGAAATGAACAAAATGCAGCACAAAAACACAAGAGCATGAATAACTGTACCTAGATAAACAAGGTAAAGCATTACAAAGAATGCTTAAACTGGATGAGACAAGAGATTTAAAAAAGAGGGAAGACCATTTCAGTTACAGGGAACATGAGTATTAGGAAAATCATGGCATATTGGCAGAAAATGAGTAGTCACAAACTGGAGTTTCAGTTACTGGAAAAATGAATGTACAAAAAAAAACAAAGGCAGAAAAACCTAACTGGAGGTAGCTGTCCAGACAAGAGGTAAGGAGGGTCTGAATTATCTGAGTTGTATGAAGACAAAAGAAAATTAAGACAATTTATAGGAGATACATCTGGTAGAGAATTAGCTGGTAGCAGAAAAGAAGGAAGTGTTTGAAAAGTAGAAGATAAAAATCACAGATGATCTATGGGAAACAAAATGGCCTTTGAAAAGTGAAATGTGGTCAAGAAATGAATCTTGGATTATCAGTATTTAAGTATTAGGTAGGAAAAGAGAAAAACTAAGAAAGTAAGAAAGATACCAAAGACTGGAAGAGAATTCAAGACAGAGCAGAGGTATAGAAAATAAGGGAAGAGGCCAGGTGCGGTGGCTTATGCCTGTAATCCCAGCACTTTGGGAGGCTGAGGCAGGTGGATCACGAGGTCAAGAGATCGAGACCATCCTGGCCAACATGATGAAACCCTGTCTCTACTAAAAATACAAAAAATTAGCTGGGCATGGTGGCACGTGCCTGTAATCCCAGCTGCTCAGGAGGCTGAGGCAGGAGAATTGCCTGAACCCAGGAGGCGGAGGTTGCGGTGAGCCGAGATCACACCATTGCACTCCAGCCTGGGTAACAAGAGCAAAACTCTGTCTCAAAAAAAAAAAAGAAAATAAGGGAAGAAAGTTTCAAGAGAGAAGTGGGGTTCAATGATATAAACTACTTTGTAAAGTTTAGATAAGATATATTTGAGAAGAGGCTAATGGCTTTAGAAGTTCAAAGATCACCAGGGCCCTTTGAGAAAGCAGCATCTAAAGAGGCCAGTGACTGCAGTCTATTAGGGTTGAATGGAAGGTGAGGAACACTGGCACTGAAGAAAAGATTACATGAAAAGAGAGTAAATTCCGAGGTCAAAGAGCCAAGAAAGGCTTAGAAAAGATTGACATAATTTTTCAAAAGTTATTTGCATGGAATATGGATTCTTTTTCCTTTTAAAAGAGAAGCCCAAAAAACTAAGCTTTTTTTAAATTTTCTAGAGCTAACTACATGTCTACTTTTTCTACTCCAAGAAGCCCAGATTCAGAAGTAAGTTCTAGTCCACTGGAATGAAATTTTATACTCTCAGGAAATAGATTGTCTTAATTATAGTTCCCACTCCCTTGCTATTGTTTCTAGTCTTCTCTTTGTATTTTAAAGGGCTTCCTGTTACTATATGTATATTTTTCTGTCACAAAGATGGTAGAATATCCTTGGAAGTACACAAGGTGAACATAAAATAACAAAGCAAAGTAATACAAACCTTTTGGAAATTATAAATTTTTTTTTAGCTTTTCCACAGTTTTAAAATTGCAATATGGAAGATAAATACGTGGCTAAATATCACACGCAAACTACAGTCTTGGCTTCTGTAATCTGTAGCTTGTAAAAGTTGATGTGGTAAAATCAGAGCACTTAGGACAACTAAAGAAAATAACCTGGGACAAAATTGATTGTAAAACTTTTCTTTGCAAGAAACAATTATTTTTAAAGCCTGTATTTGCCTCTCTTTGACATGATGCTTCAGAGATTAGTCTTCTGTACTCCACCTTGCTATTTCATCTCTTTAGTTTTAGTGGTTTGACTCCAACTCCTTCTCTTTCTGAAAGTTGTCACCTTCTTGCTTCTATAATTACTTAATCTGCTTTTAAAAATGCCTACCTTATATACATGAGCCATTTAAACAAACAAAAAAATTGTCTACCTCTTTTATTACATTTTTAATGCCATCTTGATTCAAACACCATACCCTATTTGAGGATAAGGCTATTATCAATAACCAGTTGAACTTAGGGAGATTTCATTTGAGGAGAATAAGGTATGATTCCTTCAAATGTTCTTTTTAAAGGATCCCTCTTATACTGCCATGGTAAGATAGAGTCTACTCTGTTTACTTGAGTCATTTGAAGTAGGGCTAAAACAAACCTTCAAATTAGGCAAGATATCCAGGTTCAATCTTATCCTGAAGATATTTCTTAGATGAGATTCCATGTGTGACCTGTTATCTGTATCACTGCTTTTGGTTTAATCTTGCCATGAAAAATAACCTGCTGGATTATCAGCACTAAGAGAAAGAATAGCTCCTTTAATGCAGCTATCCCCCTACAGCACAAGGCAGGGACTCTGACCATGGTGCTGACAGATTTTTCAAGTGAAGCTCATTTTATTCGCATACCAAAGAGAGGCATAAGACAATCAGGATAGGGGAAGAAAATATTAGAACTCAGAGACACAAACACCAGTGATGCTGGTTCTACTTAATGAAACCTACTATTAAGACTATCAAAAAGATGACAAGATAGTGCTCACATTCAGGGGATTTAAGGTATGCAACAAGTCCAGAAAGCTAGAGCTGAGCTATGCTACTAACAAATAGTTACCATTTTCCAAGTCATGCAGAGTTATGCTTCTTCACCAGTAACTCCCAGCATCCTCTTTATTTATATACCCACTTTTGGATGCTCAGAATTCAAGACAGTTGGGAAGGACAGGTGATGAAGGATGGCACAATGCAACCTGGACCATGTAGTCACTTTAGGAAGATTAATTGTGAGCAGGTATGGAAAACATAAGAGCCCATGGAAAGTACAGACATTTAAATGAAACACTACACTGAATCTCTAAAATAACCAAAAAAAAAAAAACATACTGGTGGAATAAGACAATCAGTTTAAGAGTTATAGAAGATGAAAGTCTGTGAGGCACTGAAAAGTAGATCAGAAAGCTGAAGATCCAGAGGTCTGGTCCACACCAGACCCCAGTAAGAGGGGACGCTGTGGGAGTATCAACTACAAAGAAAGTGCTCCTATAGATGGAATCCTATAATTAGAAACAGTATCAAAGACACTTGCCACAGGTAACTGAAAGATCTGAGTCCCAGGCAAGATTAATTTGTGTAGAATAGAGGATCCATACCTAATTATATCAAGGCACAATAATCTGAATTTTAAAGATAATGTCAGCAATTTTAACAAAGAATTATGTAGAGTTGAACTGAACAGGAAATTATCAGTCATATCAATGGGAAAAAAGTAATATAAAAATATGTATGCTTTGAGTCCTTTCGGTAAAAACAACATATTTTGCATGTAGGTAAACTCTGCAATGTTATAGACCATTAATCACTCCATAGTAGAAAGGAGAATTGGCATAGTTTTAAGGGAAACGTCCACTATTTATCATCTATTCTTTTGCACTGATTAAATTTTGTTCAATAAACTTTTATGATTAAAAAAATGAAATGTGACAAAATAGTGCTTACATGAGACTATATTTTATAATCAAAACAATAATCATTTAAAGAACAAACTAATGCAAAACACTTCCAATTTAGCATTGGTATTTAAGAATGCATGGTAAAAATACAATCTATCACTACTGCTTTAAAATAAAACAATCTTTTTAATAGAGCCAGTGAATAAAGACTGTGCAATTCTATTCAAAGATCTAATTATCCATACCAGTATTTTAATATTATAAATCAGTTTTTCCCAATTCCTTCAGAACCAGGAACTCTATATTATTTTTCACTCTCAAAAGGTCAATTATTTTTGAGAGTCTACTATAAGGGACTTATTCATTAACAATGTTTTTCCATTATGTTATTAAATACACACTCGCCTGCATACTCCCTCCTTTCTCGTTCCCAACTGAAACCTCTGGTCAGCATAAGATTAAAAAGATGCTAGTGTGTTGAGCATATTTTAAGCGCGGGTAAACTTACAGTCTCAAATGCTTGGCAAATCTTTAAAACAACACAAGAATCTGCCTTTGTATCTAAGACTCTCAGGTCTCCAGGGACTGTGAGATGTGATCACCTATTAGATAATATAACCAGAGGTGCCACAGGCTGGACTGCTTCTTAAGACCTAACAAAATAAAAGCTGAAGTTGCTAATGAAAACTAGAAAACAAAAAATCTACACATAATAGATATGACTCACTAACATTTATCATTATTTACTAGTTATTATTATTGCTAAATATGTAAAATACCAAACTACTAACAGAAATCCTAAAGTATAACTGTGATGTTCTTTTGAGATAGAATTTGGCTGAGCGTTGTGGTTCATGCCTGTAATCCAAGCACTTTGGAGGCCAAGGCAGGCAGATCATCTGAGGTTGGGAGTTCAAGACCAGGCTGACCAACATGGTGAAAGCCTGTCTTTAAAAAAAAAAAAAGAGAGAATTTAGGAGATATGACATTTCAACTGTCTATTTTCAGAAGAAAATTTTTAAAAAGTATATAGTTTGTATTCCTGCAGCTTTATACCCCAGCAATATTAGAAGCTTTACTAATTTCTAAAATTTATGTTTTAATTGCTTTAAATCATATAATAAGAACATTTAACTGTATTCCCTTTAAGTTACCTGAACATTCTCATTCCACTTCTCAGCAAAAAGCTTGTCTGGAAATTCTGCAGGTAGAGATAACTGTTCTTTAAATATTTTAACATACTGTGGAAAACCAAATGAATTCATTAAGTATATCTGACGGTGAGAAAATCGTGACTTCACTCTTTTTTCTAAGAGTTCCAAAATATCCTTAAAAACAAACAGAAATCTCTGTAAGTAAGATGTATGTTAAAAAACAACGACAACAAAAAACACTGTATCAATGTTAGAGGTATAAGCAAACTATCACTTATAATTATTGTTTAGTCTATAATATATAAACACTTAAAACATTTTATGCAGACTAAATAATCCCCTCCCCCTGCCAGCATCTGCTGGCTTGGTGATGCCATGTCTTTTTCTTACCATGTTACTCTCAGCTAATCTGTAACATTCCAAGACCCAGTATGATTGTTAACTGACTATATTGAAGAGCTACATGTCACAGTAACATCAAGAGTTTCAATAAGGAATTGAAGAACTGAGATTAAAAAATTAATAGCATGATAGGCAGCAGGAACCAACCTCAGGAGAGGAATGCGGCAGAAATGCAACATGGCATTTCTAAGTTAACTTCTGGCTTTTTTTTTAAAAAGTAATGTTTTTAGACCCTATTTCTATTTGTGCTGTTTTTCCTTAAGAAATCAGGAATCAAATTTACTATCAAAGAACACTAAAAACCAAAGGATAACTAACATGTACTACTTGTAAGGACATACAAAGTGTTCTTAAATGAAGAAAATACTTCCACAAAACTGATAGGCATTGGAACTATTCAAGACATCAAAAGCACAATAGGTAAGCTGTCTTCCTAAGTCACATACATGGCAGGAACTGTCATTCCTAAATCTCTTTTTAATACTGAACTTGAGCAATTTTTCAAAATATATTACAGTACACAGAATACCATATTATTCAACAGTTACACTCCAAGGTATACAACTAAGGGAAATGAAACCAGATAACTGCAAAAAAAAAAAAGTGTATGTCAATGTTTGCAGCAGTATTATTTTCAATAGCCTAACCCAAATGTCCATCCACTGATGAATGGATAAACAAAGTGTGATATAGCTATAATACAACAGAATATTATTTGGCAATAAAAAGGAATAAAGGACTGATATATGCTCTAACACAGATCAACCCTGAAAACATGTTAAGCCAGTCACACAAAACTATATGTTACATGATTCAAAAATAACAGTCAGAAAGTAGTCGTTGCCTAGGGCTGGGGAGGGAACAGGGGATTGTGGTGAAGGCTTAAAGGTATGAGGCTCTGAAACTGTGGTGATAAATGCACAACTCTATAAATAAACAAAAACTCTGTTAATTGTATGATTTAAATGAGCAAATTGCATGGTATAAATTATATCTCAATAAAGTCATTTATAAAAACTCCCAACCCCAAATATGAACACTGACATGCTATTTGATGACTTTAAGAAATTACAGCTAATATAACAATTATATTAGGAAAATATATTTTTTAAAGAGGCCTTATCTCATAAAAATACATTATAAAATGCTGATAAAATGACATGATACCTAGTTTTTGCCTCAAAATAATGAAGGGAGGGAATGAAGGGAGATGTAGAAGATAAATAAAACTAGTCTGTAGTAATTGAATCTTGACAATGAGTGGAAAAGGGAATTCAGGGTATTTATTCCCTCCTATGTATATTGTTGAAACACTACAGAATGAAGTTTTTTAAAAGGGGGGTTGGTTAAGCTCACAAATGTACATTTCCATGTCTAGTCAGATGACTCTCATAATACCTAGATCAAAAAATCATGATATAGTGGAGAGAATTCAAGTGAGCAAAATGAGATCATGGTTAGTTGAGGACAGGAAAGACTAACAGCCTGAGGTAGAGGCGGGAGAGTGCATAAAAAATTTTTAATATTTTTATGAGGTCAAATAAAAGTATAGTGCCAGCATTTGAACTAAAAGAGAAGAAAGGTTATATTCAGAGATACAGGTATTGCACATTTATTTTCTATTAAGAAAGAGTTCTAGGTCACCCATATAGATAGGTAGACGGTGAAAGTAATAATCTACACAAGCAACAATTAAGAGTCTAAACTTGGGAATGAAAAGAGATGGAAGTACATGATGTCTTTGTAGTAGGTAGTAATGACAGAAGTTGGCAATGTGGGCATACAGGGAATAGTAAAAACAAAACAAAAAAACAAAAATGCGATTACTCCCACTGGGGAAGAAGATGCTTGCTGACAAAGTCACTACTCTCTTTATCCTTTTGCTCTCTCCCTATAAACATGGATACAGATAAAAATACACTTGAGGACAGGCACGGTGGCTCACACCTGTAATTCTAGCACTTAGGGAGGCCGAGGCAGGCAGATCACAAGGTCAGAAGTTCAAGAGCAGCCTGGCCAACATGGTGAAACCCTGTCTCTACTAAAAATGCAAAAATTAGCTGGGCATGGTGGCAGATGCCTGTAGTCCCAGGTACTCAGGAGGCTGAGGCAGGAGAATCACTTGAACCCGGGAGGTGGAGGTTGCAGTGAGCCAAGATCGCGCCACTGCACTTCAGCCTGGGCAACAGCGCAAGACTCTATCTCAGAAAAGAAAAAAATTACACTTGAAAGAACTAAACAGTTGGAGGATTATATACACAGAACAAAAAAGAACACCTGATAACAGTGCTAAGAAGCTACTGACCTTTTTTTTTTTTTTGAAACGGAGTTTCGCTCTTGTTACCCAGGCTGGAGTGCAATGGAGGGATCTCGGCTCACCGCAATCTCCGCCTCCTGGGTTCAGGCAATTTTCCTGCCTCAGCCTCCCGAGCAGCTGGGATTACAGGCACGCACCACCGTGCCCAGCTAATTTTTTTGTAATTTTAGTAGAGACGGGGTTTCACCATTTTGACCAAGATGGTCTCGATCTGTTGACCTCGTGATCCACCCGCCTCGGCCTCCTAAAGTGCTGGGATTACAGGCTTGAGCCACCGTGCCCAGCCGCTACTGACCTTTTATTTGGTCCTTCACTGGGTCAACAAGACTTGCCACAACCACTTCCATCCAAAGGAAGATTTTTTGTTTTTGGCAAGATGGAGGGTGCTTCTTTGATCCCTGTCATAGTCTGCTGCTTTTGGCAAGGAGAAATAAAGATATGCGGAGCACCAGCCAATGTTGTATGAGGGAGGTTTATACTAAAGCCATGCATCATAAATAAGCTAGAGAGTACAGGGAAGGAGGGGCAAATAACAGTCACTCTATAGAGAAACAGCACTGGACGGAGGACTGTTGAAATACAAATTAGTATAAAGTTTCACTTTCTGAAAAAGAGCTGTAGAAAAGGAGAAATTATATTTATTAGCATAATCTGATTTCATACGTTTTTTTCTTCAGTTATTTCACTGGGAGGAGGGAGGCATTCATTAATGGGCTAAGGCAACCATTTACCCATTTTCCCCAATTTGAGTTGAAAAGCAGGATATATACTGCTGAAACAAAATATTTTAAATGCCTAACATAATGACAAAATAAGTGAAAAAAGACTAGTAGTGTCAGCAATTAAGCTTAAATTTTAAAATATTATAATCAAATTTTTTAATGAAGAGAAAGACTTACCAATCTACATGTAAGACCAATAACTGCTATTGGGGTCTGTGCAGACTGAGAAATGTCAAAAAGATTATAGAGAAGTGTTTGGTTTTTATGATGAGCAAAAAGATCAAATTCATCTAATATGAAGATCACTGGGCAACTGCTAGTTCGGTCACCTAAGATAAAATAAGAGCATTACAACAAGAAATTATATCCACCTTTCCTCAGTTTCTAAACTATTTACTATATTTCAGGTTTTAAAACTTAATTCTACAAACATACTGATAACATACTTTGGGTAGGGCATTTACTGATACATGTACATTCATTCAACAAAAGAAGCTATTCAAAGGACAACGATAGCCCCTACTGCTCTCAAGAAGTTCAGTCTAGGCTGGGCACGGTGCCTCATGCCTGCAATCCCAGAACTTTGGGAGGCTGAGGTGGCTGGATCACCCAAGGTCAGGGGTTTGAGACTAGCTTGACCAACATGGTGAAACCCCATTAAAAAAAAAAATACAAAAATTAGCTGGATATGGTGGCGGATGCCTGTAATCCCAGCTACTTAGGAGGCTGAGGCAGGAGAAGATGTTGAATTCGGGAGGCAGAGGTTGCAGTGAACCAAGATCACTCCAGCCTGGGCAACAGGAATGAAACTGTCTCAAAAAAAAAAAAAAAAAAAAAGTTCAGTCTAGTTCCTAGACTCTAGTATAGTTTATTTGAAAAATGTCAAAAATCATTTAAATTACTAAAGACTATTATTTTTATAATTATGTAAACAGAATTCTTAATGATTACAAAATTGGCAAAAGACTTTTCTATACCTATATAGAACCAAAACATTTGGGATTAAAATATAAGGGAAGTCACTACTTAATGAACAATACTAATGCTTTAAAAGAGTTGTTTACTCAGTAGAAATGCAAAGTATACTTCTCATAGAAATACTTTTTATAAACAATGGTTAGATTATAAAGTTTAACTAAAGCACTTTAACTCCCTTTAAGCACAACTTTCAGCATTTCAACTAAAATGCTTTTCATGGGGAAAAGTTCCACATGATTTTCTTTGGTTACATTTTTCTCACTTCAATGATGGAAACTACTTTAGTAAAACAATCCCTTTTACCTTAGGCTTACAGCCTTTACATTTGTGTTAAAAAGTAAAACTATTATCTGACGAAAGACTTACTTCAACAAATAACAAATACAGTGCCTAAATGATTTAATACTGGTACAAAACCAAAGGAATTACTCAAAAGTCTAGAAAGAGACCTATGTACTAATATAAAATTTTAGTATTTGATAAAATATTGCATTATACATCAGTGGGGAAAATTAGTCTATTCAAAGTTAGATCCCTACTTTACAGGTCAAATCAAAATTTCCAAACAAATTACGAATTACAAATATACATATTAAATGAAAACATGGATCAATGTTTTCATAATCTGAAGGAGAGAAAAAACTTTCTAGATAAACATAACTGTGGAAAACGTAAAACACTAAGTTTAGCAGAAAAGTCCAAACCAAACTTAAGGGAAGAGAAAAATAAAACACAAAAATTCCGATAAGTAAGTATAAGATAAACATTACCAAAACAGGTCAAAGACCCAACAGGAAATAGAGTCATGCTTCCCTTAACAACACAGATATGTTCTGAGAAATGTACTGCAGGTGATTACATCATTGTACAAGCATCCTCAGAGTGTACTTACACAAGCCTAGATGGTATAGCCTACTACACACCTAGGATATACGGCATAGCCTATTGCTCCTAGACTATGAACCTGTAAGCATGTGATAGTGTAGGCAACTGTAACACAATGGGAAGTATTTGTGTATCTAATAAACATATCTAAATACAAAAAAGGTACAGTAAAAATACAGTTTTAAAGTCTAAAAGGACCACTGTCACATATGTGGTCTATCATTGAATTAAAAGTGTTATGTGGCACATGACTGTACATAAATCAGGAAATATCAAAGGTCAATAAAAATGTGAAATGATAAGCATCACCATTATCAGAATTATGCAAATTAATCAGAATTATGCAAATAAAGAACAAAATTATTCCAATTAAAGTAAGAGATGAAAGATTTTCTATTAGATGGGCAAACATAAAAATAATTGTTTTTGAGGCTGAGAAAAAGGTACAATCGAATATTTTTACGAAGTGAATCTTTAAGGTAATTTGGTAGTGTTCATTCTTTTAAAAACAGTGCCCTTTAACCCAGAATTCTACCCACAGAAATTTACCCCAGGAAATATCTGGATGATCATCTAAGTATCTCTTCTTAATTATAACAGATTAGAAACACAAGTCCATAACTGGTGATTAATAAATAGCACCTAATAAAACAAGATGAGAATCATAAAAATGGTGATGCAGATCAAAATTCACTGATTACAAAACAATAGGCAAGATAATTTTATTCTCATAAAATGTTAAATTTCTCTCTATCAATAATATACAGCAGGTGAATAAAGATAAGAAACCAAATGCTAATTGAGAAAATCACTGTTATAACGGTGGGAATACAGTGATCATTGTTTCTTTTTTATGTTTCTGTATTTTATGAGTTTTTCTTTTGGCAAAAGCTTGTTATTACCTTTATAATCAAGGAAAAAATAAAGTTAAAATATACCTTTTGACACAGCTGAATATGTTAACATTTACCTTTTTTTAAAGCTTCCAGAAGAAATGAAAAGTTTTCAGCAAAGCTTCCCTGAACAACAAAATGAGAAAAAATGACTAAAAGTTTGGTGAAATAAAAAACAAAAGAGGGCTGTCTGATTCTCAGATTTTACATAAACACTGTATATATTCTAGTTATTAGAGTCACTGCCCAGACTCTGCTGAGTGTCTCTATACTTCCTATCTAAAATTTAAATATTTAAGCAAAGATAGCTCAGTACTGAAAACAACAATAAATATGTCATGTATGAAATGTTATATTTCAGAACTTGAGGATAACCGGTCAAAGAAGAAAAAGAAAAGTAAGAAATTTTATATTTTCTGGACAAAATCTGTAAGAATGTTAAATTTATTTGAAGGTAGTTTTATAGAGTTGCCATACTCTAAATACAGTTTGAGACCTAGAAATGCATTCAACTTTGTGTCTTCAAACACAATGGGATCTTGCAAGTCTCAAATTAATTTGTACCAGTAAAGAAAAAACCATTAATTTAAATGAGATATAAGAAAAGGCTTTTTTGAAACAATAAATACTATAACAATGTTTGTCGATTCAAGAGTATATTGAATAATTTATGTGTATCATATCATGTTTGGCTATGTTTACATGGAATACAGCCAAAACATTTTTGGATACAATTAAATATTCCTGATGAAACTGAACAAGGTAGTAGATGCATTATCCAGGTGCTCCAGATTGTGGGTAGAAATCCCATTTAAATATTTTTTTCATTAAAGTTATTAATTTTTATTTCATTCAGAGTTCATAATTTAAAGAAAGAGCCAACTTTAGATTTGAGGAGATATAAAGGAGAAAAGAAACTCACTTATTTGTTCTCTAGTTGAGATATCTAACATAAAAAGAGCATAAGTGGGCCTGGTGTGGTGGCTCACGCCTGTAATCCCAGCCCTTTGGGAGGCCGAGGTGGGTGGATCACAAGGTCAAGAGATCAAGACCATCCTGGTCAACATGGTGAAACCCCGTCTCTACTACAAATACAAAAAATTAGCTGGGCATGGTGGTGCGTGCCTGTAATCCCAGCTACTCAAAAGGCTGAGGCAGGAGAATTGCCTGAACCCAGGAGGCGGAGGTTGCCGTGAGCCAACATCATGCCATTGCACTCCAGCCTGGGTAACAAGAGCGAAACTCCGGCTCAAAAAAAAAAAGAAAAATTGCATAAGTGTTTTAAAAACTTTCACTGTTGTTATACTATTTCCAAGACAGGCAGACCAGAAGGTATTATCCATAATTTGCTATAACATAACAAAGCCTAGGAAATCATACATACATAACAAAGTTGGGAAATCAGTGGTCAGTTACTAAAAGGTAGCTTGTCTTTCAGGCTTTTTGTTTAAAAGATTATATCTTATATTTCATATATACTTCTATAAATATGTATTTGTGCATGTATAATATAGATATATGCTTTTATCAGACCAGAAAAGCTGTGGCTTGAATTAACTGAGTAAGTGACTTATCTTATACTGTCGAGACTGCCATTTCATGACCTTTGGCAACCTAATTATGCTCTCTGAGCAGAAGCCAAATTTATATAATGAAGGAATTAAACTAATAATTTCTATAGCAGTAATTGTCTATTCAAAAGTATACTGAAGAATTTATGTATATCATATCCTGTTTGGCTATGCTTACTTTGGAATACAGCCAAAACATTTTTGGATACAACTTAAACTAATAATCTCTATATGTGATAATAATAATAGTGAAGATTAGAATAGAATGATAAACAATTGTGCCTTTTATTATTTCACATAAAACCAATATGAATATGTAACATTTAAAAATGTCAGAAACAGTTATCCAGATCAACTGGGAATCAAAAGCAAACTGAGCATACTTAATAGGAACTGTCTTTGGCTTAGTATAGGCCACTACCTTCAACATCACATTCTAAACAGGAAGTAGAATATTAGACTTATAGAAGGAGCATTTCAAAATTGCACTTCAAAGACCTACAGACTATGGAAGGGACAAATTTACTTAACTTTTTATAGATCAATTATTAAAGAAAGAAACTCATAAATGCTAGAAGTCTTACACAACTATGGCAGTGTCACTGTAGCACAAAGCATACAGTTCAGAGATTAGAGTAAACTCTAATCATGGTCACCAGTAACCAGAAAATGAAATTGGAATGTATATAACCCACTCCAAATGCATACTTAGTATGAGGATAAGTAATTTCATTGTGAAAATTCAGGCAGCTGCAAAATTAAATTATCATGTTTTCCTTAGGCCCTATATATTAGGTAAAAGGTAAAACTTTAATACAAGTTTCAAAACATTTCAAGTCAGTTTCTTTTACTGATGTTCACTATCCTGAGACTATAAGATGGATATGATAATGAAGTATGAATAAATTCTGAAAACAGAGTAAGACAACTTACATTTGTACAGCACATTAGTATCTAGCAAATTACTTTTTAAGTTAAATGATGTGTAATGTTCTCTTTCTTCTTTAGAATAATCCTATGAAGTCTAGATAATAAAATAATGCCCAATTAACATGCAAAGAATTTGAATTCAGAGATACTCGTTAGCTCAGGATTTTCAGGTAGTCAAAGGGCTGTAAGGCATGACTGAAACCCACCTATTGCAGATTCAAATTCAGCACATTTTCCCCCATACACAGGCTACTAGACTCAAAAAAAGTAGAAATAGGCTGCTGGAGCACAGTATTTTAAAAAATGTGTTAATTTATCTCCAGAGATAGAGAACCAAAGTATTCACCTTTTAGAAAAAGAAATAAACTCAGAATATCTACATAAACTTGGATTTCTTAGCTATTTTACAGCTACTAAAATCTATGAAAAAATCCACATATTGTACAGACTTGATGACTAAATGTATCCTATACATTACACATTCTTATGAAAAGATCTTATATGTTTAAATTTAGAATTTCTTTCTTTTTTTTTTTTTTGAGGCAGTCTCATTCTGTCTCCAAGGCTGGAGTGCTGTGCATGATCTCAACTCACTACAACCTTCACCTCCTGGGTTCAAGTGATTCTCCTGCCTCAGCCTCCTGAGTAGCTGGGACTGCAGGTGCATGCCACCATGCCCAGTTAATTTTTGTATTTTTAGTAGAAACAGGGTTTCACCATGTTGGCCAAGCTGGTCTCGAACTCCTGACCTTGTGATCCACTTGCCTCAGCCTCCCAAAGTGCTGGGAATACAGGCATAAGCCACTACGCCCGGCCTCAATTGAAAGTTTCTGAACCTCTCTCTACCCTTCCAGAAATATAAAAATATCTATGCTATAAAGATATTACCTTGAAGCTTATTTAATAAAATAAGTGAAATGATACTTACAAAAACTTTATCTCCAACTACATTTTCCAGATTTAACTGCCTTGTGATTTCCTTTAGGGCAATTTTATCATTGATCTGCAGCAGTCCTAAAAGTCCATTTAAAAGTATTTAATTAAAATGTCACATGTATTTGATACAGCAGGTTATTTTCCAGTTAAGTATATTTTCCCAAAGTCTGTTAGTTCACATCACTTTCTTTTTAAAACTTAGCAATAAAAACATTCTGTAGAGTCAAAAAACAATCCTTCTTGGGATTAGAATGATTAAAAAAAAGAAAAAAAACAAAGTCCTTCTGAGACTCCTTCATTATTATTATTTTAATTTCTAAAAATACTGTGTATGGTCTGCTAAGTAGAGGCTGTAGAACATGGATCTACTTTTCAAAATCTATTAAAATGGATTTGAAATATACAAGTGAATTTAGTTTCATCATATAATAACCCCACAATGTTTATAGCATCTCCAATGGCAAAATGATGGCATACTTACCGTTTAAGTGAACTTGTAATACATTTTCACTCACTTCTTCTATTTCCATGAGTTCTCTCAAAGCATGATTTATTAACTAAATATGAACAAAGTATGAAATAATAATAGGTAAAAGATAAAAAGAAGTCCATATTCCTTTTTAAACTACAAGTAGTGAGAACAGAATATAAACAAATTGACCTCTTTAACAAATAAGCTTTCATATTCTTTACAGATAAAAGGTTTAACTAGAACATCTCTTATCTGACTCTTTTTAAGAAACAAAGGCCAGGACTGATACAATATTTTCTGAATCACCTATCCATACTTTTAATAAAAATTTAGAAACAACCAAGTTCTAAAATAAATACTTCTCTACATGTCACGTTAAATATGTGACATGGCCCTTATAAACTTATGTCTCAGTACATTACACATCTCTCTGACATTTACTCTACTAGATATCATTATAATCAGTTAAAAGACTATTGAATTAAAGGTTTCTATGCAGCATATATTTTTTTTGTAACACCATACTGCTCTCATACTGTGATATCATATATATCTCTTCATATTACCACTGCATTTAAGAAAAGCCAAAAACCTTTCTAAAAGAGTAAAAATGGACTGTTCTTTCCAATATTAAAATATAGGATACTATAAAAAAATTAATGAACTGGGAAAAGCAGTTTGTATATTAAAAAAAAATAGTAGAGATGGCATCAAAACTTAGGACAAAAAGGATTACTCAGTGAAGGCACCGGGACAACTGGTAAACTATTTTCCAAAACAAAATACTATTTGTATTTGCAGTATGCTACTTATTTGTCATTGCAACACCTTATCCAAAAGGAAAAAAGCAAATATGATCCTCATTTTAAATTATATAGGTTTCACAACAAGATATCAAAAATAAAAAATTTTCCTGGCTACCTGTATGTTTTTTTCTCTCTCTCTCTCTCTTTTTTTTTTTTTCTAGCCAGTGCTGAAGAAAACCTCTATGGTTTTTAAAGCATAGGGAATTATAGGTCCTCTTAAAAGGAGACAATCTCAAGATATCAACTGTCATACTACCAGTAATAGCCCAGCTGAGAAGTGACATTTAATGAGAAGTAACATTAAAGGACTGTACAGTGGTACTTCTTCACCTCTGGATCAGGTCAGACCCTATAATAAGAGAACATCCACAGATGAGACAAAGTTGCTCCCTCAAAACATTGCTTTCAGCAAGTTTTTCTTAGCAATCCATGGTGTTTCCTTTCCTCCATCTCTTGATATTTTGCTTATATATTTTTACTTTGGTTATAATATTGTTTTAATTCATAAAATACTTTATGTTTTGATGAATTATTCAAAACCACTTTAAATCCTTTCCTGAAAGGAATGAAGATATTAATAATACCTCCATTTCATATACACATGAAGAGAGTTGTAATAGGTTTATAGCTTTCTTTCCACTAAAACACCAACTTATGCTTTGCTTGGATCAGCCCACTAATATTTTATGGGGTGTGTATATGGTTTGAAATGATAAATATATTAGCAAGTGAGTCTTCAAATAATATTAGCTCTAATCTGGATATTGCTAAAATTTACTATGTAACTAGTTAGGCAATCAACCATTTAAGTTAGCTTTTTTTCTTGAATATGTTATCGTTTCAAATATTTAAACTACATTATACACTAAAAATATTTTCTTGGTTATTAATGTTACACTGACCAACATAATGATCTCCTTTCCACAATCTTTGTTCCTAAAATTAAATTTTACAAACATACCAGGATAATTTTCTTAGACTTCCCAGCATCCAGTAATTTTTATGCTCACAAACTATTATACTATTTCCAAATACTGTAATAAACACAGGATTCACCAATATGCAACTAGGAAGAATATCCTACTTAACCATCTAGCCAATCTGTCTACAGTAAGTTCCATGTAGAGGAACATTTTCTAAGGGTCAGGTTACAATGGCTCTACCTGTAATCTGAGTGCTTTGGGAGGCAGAGGCAGGAGGATTGCCTAAGCCCAGGAGGTTGAGGCTACAGTGAGCTATGATAGAGCCACTGTGCTCCAGCATGGGTGACAGAGTGAGATCCTGTCTCCTAACAAAAAAAAATTTTTTTTTCCTAGGGCTCAACCTGTCATTTGAAGCCATATCAATTTTTTCTTAAATAAAATGCTTGTAATATTACAAGTCACACCGTCTGTTGCCTTTTTCAATTAACTATAGTTTGAATTTATGTATTTCGGACTCTTTGGCCAAGTATAGTTTTTTAAATATACTATAATCTTGGGGTTAGGATTAGAGGTTAAAACAAACACAAGGCTATAGTCTTATGTTTTAAAATTTGAATTTATATAATTATATTAATATGGCTAGGCACTGTGGCTCATGCCTATAATCCCAGCACTTCGGAAGGCCAAGGCAGGTAGATCACTTGAGCCCAGCAGTTCTAGACCAACCTGGACGACATGGTGAAACTCCGTCTCTACTAAACATACAAAAATTAGCTGGGTGTGGTGGCACATGCCTGTCCCAGCTACTCGGGAGGCAGAGGTGGGAGGATTGCTTGAGCTCTGGGAGACAGAGGTTGCAGTGAGCTGAGATCGTGCCACTGTACTCCAGCCTGGGGGACAGAGTGAGACCCTGTCTCAAAAAAAAGAAAAGAAAAAAAACGATTCTATTGAGAGTTCTTTTCTAAAAATACATTATATCTGATAATTTATTTAATTCATATTTTCTTTCAGGATACTCCCACATATACAACAAATTACAAAAGTAGCACAAGTCAAACAATGCTCCTCATCTCTTCAACCTGTCAATATTAAGAGTATATCAGGAATACATGAAACTGTATCAAAATGGAATGCCAGGGAACGGACTCTTTCAGATTCCACTGCAGTGACACCAAATAAATGATTGCAAAGCACCACAATATGGCTCTGGTTTAAGAAACAAAAAGTAGACAAACTGTCAGCATGGCCAAGAATAATTGATACATTTTATTAACTGATAAATACTATGTCTTAATGCTTTCGTTTTTTAATTTCAGTACATTGATTAAACCTATAGGGGTTTATAAAAAGTCACTGTAACATGGGAGGAAGGGAACAACAAGCAAATTAAAAGATTAAGTGTAGATTTAAAAGATTAAGCAAGACGGCTGATTAGAGACTTCTGGTGCTCGTATCCCCCACAAGAAAGGACCACGGCAATGAACGAACAGCTAAGAGTTGTCTGGTGTGTTGAAGGGAGAGTGGTGGAGTGCAGCAGGGGAGTGGAAACGCATGAGTAGTGACTGAAAATCCAGGAGGGCAGTGTGTAGGCTCCTGGCCTCTGCAGTGCCATCTCCTGCACCTGAATCAAATCTTCCCATAATGAGGAGGGACTTCCTGTTTCGAGGAAAAGGTAAGCAGATGATCCCCACCAGCTTTCACTGCCACCACAAACACCTACAGTCCTTACCACAGAAGAATCCCACAGTCCTAGCAAGCCCTGAGTCAAGGTGGAGAGCTGCTGGAATTCAAGCAGTTGCATTACTCCAGATCATGAAAATAAGGTGCGCACTCCATCCCTCACCCACCTATAGACCAACTCGCTGCAGCATGGCACCATTGAGGCCAGAGCCACCTCTGCTGTGTGCCTTGCTCTGCAGGCCAGTAGCCACTGCACCTTTCCAGTACTAGGGCTCCATCTTCATTCCACCAAACCCACACAGGTAGCTGAACGCCACAACTCTAGCTGCATGGGGCCTGAGCCTATAATTGGCTATGACTCTGGTCCTACACAGCAGGGAAACCAGGCCCTTACTGCCACACTTCTAGTCAGAGGGCCAATCTGGCAGTCCCACCCAGGGCAAACTCTCACTTGAGGTGACCAAACCACTGTGTGGCTCCCTCCCAAGAAGGAGAGGTCCCTGAGGATCCAAGCAGCTGACACATCCCTTGGGCTTGCAGAGCAGCTATGTACCCACACTCGAGAACCTGAGAAACAGCCCCACAACTGTGTACCCCTCCCTCCTGCAGACACATCCCTGGCTTGCCCAATGGTCCTGCATCTACAATCAGGGCCTGAATATAGTCCAGAAGGTTACCCCTGGAAGGCATGCCTCCAGCCCAGCCAAGCAGCCATGAGCCATGACTTGTACCTGAGAGACAGCCCTATGGGCCACCCATGGTGAAGACACACCTTGCCCAGAGAGGCCAAGCATCCCTGTGAACACAGACTGGGTCTGAGAAGTAGCCCTCCAGGCCATTGTGTGTTCACATCAGTCTTGTGTTCACATCCAAAACCTGACAAACAGTGTGGCCTCCCTACAGCCCCATTAGACATGCCCCAGGACCAGCCAATCAATTGTGTGACCACGCCCCTAACCTGAGAAGTATACTCACTAACTGCCACTAGCAGACACATACCCTAGCTGGCTGGGCAGCATTACATCCTAGGCCTACACATCATCCCTGAGGGTTGCCTCTGGCAGACACTCTTTTGGGCCAGCTGAGCAGCCCTGCGCCTACTTCCCAGGTCTACAAAACAGCCCAGTGGGCCATATGCTGCTGAAAAGTTCCTAGGCCAGCCAAGCAGCAGTGTCACAGGCCCGAGAAACAGCCTCACAGGCCACCCCTAATGGGCATGCCCATAAGCCAGCTGAATAGCCTTGTGCCTACACCCTGCACCTGAGAAACAACCCTGTACCTGTGGAACCTCTCAGCAGACATGGCCCTAAGCCAGTCAAGCAACTGTATTCCTATACCTCTGGTGGGGTCAAGCAGCCTTACACCTGCATCCCAGGCATCTCCTGGGCCTGAGAAACCAGTGAGTTGCTCCTGGCAAGTATTCACCCAGGCCCACTGGCAACCATGTGACTATGCTCCTGGGCACATTAATAGTTCCATCTGCCAGAGGATCAGATCCCAAGGTGGTTGACCCACCACATACATGCAAATGCCCCCAAACTGAGAAAGAGTCCAGCAAACCCACTCCTGGCAAAGTTGTACAACTGCCACCACAAACTCTCAGCCTAGGCCACTGAGACACTTGTAAATGACACTAGTGTAGATTACAACTGAAGAAAACTATACAAAGACCACACTACTGTATCCAAATAGAACCAAGGCCAATGAACCACACCAAACCAACACTCCAGACTCATTCACACAAATAAGTATTTCTTTATGACATCAATTCTATAACATTGGAAAAGGCAATTTTATTTTTCTACCTGAGGCATACCAATCCATATAGGGACATATTAAACATGAAAATGCAAGAAAACATGACACTTCCAAAGGAAAACAATAATTCTCTATTAACGAACAGGATTCATAAGGAAATACAGAAAATGCCAGAAAAATAATTTAAAATAATAATCTTGACAACACTCAGTGAAATTCAAGAGAATACAGATAGAAAATTAAACAAAATCAGAAAAACAATTTGTGATTTGAATAACAAATTAAGCAGATACCATAAAAAAACAAACAAACAGAAATCCTACAGCTGAAGTGAATGAAATAGAAAATACAACTGAGACCTTCAACAGACTACACCAAGCATAAGAATTTCTTATATTGAAGACAAATTGTTTGAAATAACATAGGCAAAAAAGAAAAAAAAAACAGAATGAAGAAAGCCTACAGGATTTATGAGACATCATTAAGTGAACAAATATTTGTATTATTGTCCTTTCAGAAGAAGAAAAAAAGGAAAAGGCGAGAAAAACATATTTAATAAAACAATAGTTAAAAATTCCCAGTTCTGGAGAGGAATGGACATTCAAAGCTTTGAAGCTCAAAAGTCCAAATAAATTCAACTCAAACAGATCTTATCTGAGGCATATTATAGTCAATTGTCAAAAGTCAAAGAATTAAAGCTAAAGTGTCAAGTCACTGTAAGGGAATCCCTATTATACTAACAGTGAATTTCTTCTTTTAATTAAAAATTTTAAACTCTTTATTCTTTTTTTAAAAAAATAATATTTTAAAACATTTTTCATTCTTCTTCTTTACATTTTAGCTGATTGTCAGAAAAAATAACAGCAGATTCCTCAAGAGAAACCTGACAAGCCAGAAGGGAAAGGATGATACACTAAAAGCTCAGAATGAAAGAACTGTCAGCTAAGAATATAATACCCAGCAGCTTCAGAAATAAAGAAGAAATAAAATCTTTCACAGACAAGCAAAAACTAAGGCAATCCGTCATCACTAGACCAGACTTATAAGAAATGTTCAAGGGAGCCTTATATCTATAAATGAAAAGATGATAACCATCATCAAGAAAACATGTGAAATTATAAAACTCACTGGTAGAGCAGATATATAAAGGCAAAAGAGAAAGGATCAAGCCTTAACACTACAGAAAAGCACCCAACTGGAAAAATAAATGAGAGGAAATAAAAAACAAAGGATATACAAAACAACCAGAAAACAATCACTAAAATGACAGGGTAAATACTCACTTATCAAAAATAATCTTGAATATAAACCGATTAAGTTTCCCATTTAAAAAATACAGAACAGATGTTAAAAAGAAAACTCAATTATATGCCACTATAAGAAACTCACCTCACCTGTATAGACACACAGACTTAAGGTATAAAAAAAGATAATAACCCATGAAAATGGAAAATAAAAATGGTAGGAGGAGCTATACGTATACCAGTCAAAATATAAAGTTGCAAAAACAAAGAATGTTATAGAATAATAAAAGAATCCATTCAACAAAAGAATATAACAGTTGTACATATAAATGTACCCAACACTGAAACACTCAGATGTATAAAGCAAGTATTATTAGATCTAAAGAGAGATAGATTGCATTAAAATAACAGGAACTTCACAGCCAATTCTCAGCATTGGACAGATAATTTAGACAGAAAATCAGTGAAGACAGATTGAATTTAAACTTTACCACAGACCAAACGGACCTAATAGACATTTACAGAACATTTCCCCCAACAACTGCACAATGTACATTATTCTCATCAGCACACAGAAGATTCTCCAGGACTGACCTATGGTTAGGAAACAACAGAAGTCTTAAACATTAATCATATAAAGTATCTGGTCTGGCCACAATAGAATAAAACCAGATATCAATAATAAAATAACTGGCTAGGTGCAGTGGCTCACACCTGTAATCCCAACATTTTGGGAGGCCAAGGTGGGAGGATCCTGTGAGCCCAGGAGTTTGAGACAAGCTTGGGCAACATAGGGAGCATAGGGAGACCTTGTCTCTATTTTTTTTAAAGTAATAATAATAAAAATAAGAGGTGTCAGGTTCACCCCATATTGGGTACCACTGTCAGGGTCACCACCTGTGGGGGTCTGTCCTGCAGTCCTGACTCAACAACAGATGAATAAAGTACACTGACACACAGATATTATGCTTTGACAATTCAACTGAGGGTCCATGTGGCTTCTAACAGACTCATTGGAGAGTACTGTAAACAGCTGCAACCACTGGCCCTTTTTAGCCAGTAAGACTTGCATTTATTTAGTAGAGTTTAATTGACAAAGGCTTGAGTCAACAACACTAAACTGAAGATTAAAGCACAGGTTCCGATGCCCAAAGCAAACACCATTAGAGGATAATATCCCCGGTCAACCTTCCTAAGAGAGCGCCATACCACTCGGAGGTTAGTTTTAAGACCACAAGAGTAAACAAGTTAGGTAGGTAAACTCCCCCATATATTCTAGCTATTTGCTCTACTTATTAACTAAATGTAAAGGGTTTAGGTTGCCTTCAGTCAAAACTTCTACTGAAACTATGAAAAAACCCTTAGGCCTTCCAAAAGGGTTTGAGACTATATACTATAACTTTCTCTACTATTTTTCCTTTAATATTTTTGCCACCATCCTGAGTGAATTCCCACAAGAGGAACATTAGAAACTACATAAAAATATGGAAATTAGACAACATGCCCCTGAACAAACAATAGGCAACGAAAGATATTAAGAATATTACAGATTCCTAGAAACAAAATGAAAATAGAAACACAACATACCAAAACTTAAGGAACACAGCAAAAACAGTATTAAGAGACAAGTTTATACCAATATATGCCTACATCAGAAAACTAGAAAAATTTCAAATAAAGAATTTAACAATGCAGTCCAAAGAGCTAGAAAAGAATAAACCAAAACCCAAATTATTCAAGGAAATAATAAATATCAGAGAAGGAATAAACAAAATTGAGACTAAAAGAACAATATAAAAAAATCAGCAAAACAAAAGTTGCTTAGCTAGACTAAGAAAGAAAGACCAAAATGAATAAATGAGAAATAAAAAAGGAGACATCACACTGAATATCACAGAAATAAAAAGGATCATTAGAGTACTATGAAGAACTATGCATCAATTAATTACAAAACGTAAATGAAATAGGTAAGTTCCTGGACACATAAAACCTCTCAATGTTGAAGCAAGAAGAAACAGAAAACCTGGAGAGACCAATAACAAATAGTGAGGTAGAATCAGGAATAAAAAGTCTCCCAATAAAGGAAAATTAAGTACTGGATGGCTTCACTGCTGAATTCTACTAAAACCTTAAAAAAATTAATGCCAACTCTTCCAAAACTATTTCAAAAAATTCAAGCAGAGGAACTTATTCCTAATTCATTCTATGAGGCCAGCATAACCCTGACATCAAAATTAGACAAGGATAAAACGGCAACAAAAGCTATAAATCAGTATCTCTGATGAATATAGATGCAAAAGTCTTCAACAAAGTATTACTAAGCTGAATACAAAAAGATCATTCACCATGATCGAGTGGGATTTATCCCAGAGATGCAAGGATGGTTTAATATACGCAAATCAATAAATATCATACGACACATCAATAGAATGGAGGCCAAAAACTACATGATAATCTCAATGGATGCAGAAAAAAATGTAATAAAATTCAACATCCCTTCATGATAGAAACTGTCAATAAATAGGTAAAGAAAAAAAGCACCACAATGTAATAAAGGCCATATATGATAAACCCACAATTAATGTCAGAGAGAATGGAGAAAAAGTTGAAAGTTTTTTCTGTAAGAATTAGAACAATACAAGGATGTTCACTGTACCCATTATTATTCAACATAGTATTAGACCTTGAAGCCAGAGCAATATGGAAAGGAGGAAGTCAATTCATTCCTCTTTGAAGATGACATAATCTTATATATAGAAAACCTAGAGACTCTACCAAAGAACTCTAAGAATTTCAGTAAAGTTGAAGACTACAAAATCAATGTACAATAACCAGTACTGTTTGTATATACTAACAACAAATTAGCTAAAAGAAAAAATCAAGAAGTCAATCCCATTTACAAAAGCTACTAAAAAAATTTAATTACTGATGAATAAATGCAATCAAGGAAGTGAAAGTTATAGTTTTTGCACGAGGAAAACTACAAAGCACCGAAGAAAAAAACTGAAGAGGATAGAAACTAATTAAAAGACATCCATACTTACAGATGGAAAGAATTAATATTGTTAAAGTTACTAGACTACCAGAAGCAATCTACAGTTTCAATGATATTCCTGTCAAAACACCAATGATATTCTTCACAAAGATGGAAAAAAATCCTGAAGTTCATATGAAACAACAAAAGGCCCCAAATGTCCAAAGCAATCCTGAGCACAGGAATAAGGCTAGAGTCAACATACTACCTAACATCTACTACCTAACTTCAAATATACTACAAAGTTGTAGTAACCAAAACAGCATGATACTGGCATAAAAACAGACATGTAGACCAACGGAACAGAATAGAGAACCACAAAATTAATCTGCTTATCAATAGCCAAATGACTTTTACAAAGGCCAAGAACATTCATTAGGGAAAGGACAATTTCTTCAATAAATGGTGCTGAGAAAACTGGATATCCCTATGCAGAAGAATTAAACTAGATTCACATCTGTCATCCTACACAAAAATCAATTCATAATGGATCAAAGACCTCAATGTTAAGACCTGATATTATAAAACTACCAGAAGAAAACATAGGGTTGTAATACTTCAGGACACTAGGTCGAAGAAAAGATCTTATGAAAGAATTCCAAATCACAGACAACAAAAAAAGAAATAGACAAATCAGATGACATCAAACTCAAAAGATTCTGCATAGCAAGGAAAACAATCAGCAGTCTAAAAAAACAACCTACAGAAAAATGAAAATATTTGCAAACTATTCATCTGATGGGAGATTCATATCCAAATTACACAAGGAACACAAATATCTCAAGAGCAAAAAACCAATTTGCTTAAAAAACAGGCAAATGATCTGAACAGACATTTCTGAAAAGACATACACAGGACCAACAAATATATGAAGAAATGCTTAACATCATTAATCATCAGGGACATGCAAATAGAAACCACAGTGAGGTATCATCTCACCCCAGTTAGGATGTCTATTTTCAGAAAAACAAAAAATAATAAATGCTGGTGAGGATGCAAAGAAAAGGGAACTTTTATACACCATTGGCGAGAATGTAAACAAGTACAGCCAATATTGAGAAAAGTACAAAGGTTCCCCAAAAAACTCTACAAATAGAACTACCATGTGGTCCAACAATCACACTACTGAGAAATTATATAAAGGAAAGGAAATCATTACATCAGAGAGACATCTGAACACCTGTATTTATTGTTGTACTATTCACAATAACCATGATATGGATCAACCTAGGTCCAACAACAGTTGAATGGATAAAGAATATGTGTATATATACACAATGGAATACTGTTTAGCCATTAAAAAAACAAAAAGAAATCCTGTCATTCACAGCAACGTGGATGGAACTGGAAGAAGTTATGTTAAATGAAATAAGCCAGGAAAAGAAAGTTAAACACCATACGTTTTCATTCATCTATGGAAGCCAAGAAAAGCAATCTTATAGAAGTCAAAAGTAGAAGAGAGGATAGGGTAGGAAGTGTAGGAGGAAAGGAGGACTAGGTAAAGATTTAATATGAATACAAAATTATAACAAGATGGGAGGCATAAGTTATAGTGTTGTACCATCATTGTTCTGTAACTATAGGATGACTGTAATGAACAATAATAGTTTCCAATAGCTAGAAGGAGGATACTGGATGTTCCCAACACAAATAAATGATAAATGTTTGAGATGATTGATATGCTAATTGCTGATTTGATCACTATACATTATATGTATCAAAATATTACTATACCCCATCGAAGTGTATAATTATTATGAGTCAGTTTAAAAATAAAGTGCAAACTGACACAAGAACAGAAAATGAAATACCACATATTCTCACTCATACGCGGGTGAGGAAAAATGAGAACACATGGACACAGGGAAGAGAGTACTACACATCAGGGTCTATTGGGGAGAATGGGGAGGGACAGCAAGGGGGGGGAGCTGGGGAGGGATAGCCGGGGAGAAATGCCAAATGTGGGTGAGGGGCAGGAAGGCAGCAAAACACACTTCTGTGTGTGTACCTATGCAACTATTTTGCACGTTCTGCACATGTACCCCAAAACCTAAAATGCAATAAAAAATAAAAAGTAAAAATAAAAATAAAGTATAAAAAAGGTTAATTACTACTTAAAATGTCTATTTTATGAAATAAATGTTTTGAGCTATTTAAGCCAGACTTACACAAGAAGGAAAGATTGTTAGAAAACTGAAATGCAGTATCACATTAGAAGCAAATGACAGAGCTGGCAGTAAAGAAACTCACATTGGCCATATGGTAGAATGCTTAGAGAAGGAAAAAAAAAAACCTAAAAAAAGATGGTGGACATAGACAAATGAAAACTATTTAAGAACTGAATATTCTAATATTGAATATTCATTTTCTCTAATCCTAAGAAAAAATGAAAGAGAACATTCAAAAATAAAAATATTATTTAGTGAAGAATATCTCTAAATTTATACTAAAACAGTATACAGAATATCAGTGAATTTTTGACTCTTAGACATTAACTAATGCAATAAGAAAAGAAAAGAAATAAAAGGTATAGAGATAGGGAAGAAATAATTAAACTGGTATTTGCTCACAGATAACAAAATTGTCTAAGTAAAAAAATCTCAAAGAATTGATCAAAAAAAAAAAAAAAAAAAAAACTCCTGGAATTGAGAAGCAATTATAGTAAAGTTGCAAAATACAAGGTAATATATAAAAGCCAAGTGTTTAGCCATATACTAGCAATAAACACCTTAGAAAAGGAAATTGAAAAAACATAGTACTAATTCACACTAGCACCAACAATAAAAAATTGGCATAAAACTAATAAAATATGTGTAAGATCTTTATTAAGAAAACTATAAAAACTGATGAAGTTCCTAAATAAAGGATACTCCATGAATGGGAAGACTCAATATAGTTAAGATGTCCATTCTTCCTCATGTGATATATAAATTGAACACAAAATCCCCGCAACTCATTACAAAGATTCTCAGAATTTGTTGAGTATGTACAAAGTAAATCTAAAGTTATTATGAAAAGGCAAAGTAACCAGACAGCCAACACAAAACTGTAGAAAAACAAAGTCAGAAGACTGACAGTAATTACCTTAAAGACTCACTAAAAATCTACAGTAATCAAAACAGTGTGATATTGGCAAAAGAACAAATAAAGCAAGGGAATAGAATGAGTACCTAAAAACAGACCCACACAAACATAGTCAACTGATCTTTGACAAAGAAGCAAAGGCAATTCAATGGATGAAAGATACTCTTCAACTTGACATTCATTTGCAAAAAAAAAAAAAAAATTCTAAATACAGACCTTACACCTTTCACAAAAAGCAATTCAAAATGATTCATAGACCTAGATGTAAAATGCAAAACCATAAAGCTTGTAAGATACATAGGAAAAAATCTAGATGACCTTGGGTTTGGTGATAAAGCTTCAGATCCAACACAAAAATCATAATCCATGATAGAAAAAACTGACAAGATTATTAAAATCAAAGACTTCAGTTGGGCACAGTGTTTCAGTTCTATAATCCCAGCACTTTGGAAAGGTGAAGCAGGAGGATTGCTTGAGCTCAGGAGTTCAGGGCCATCCTGGGAAACATAGGGAGACCCCATCTCTACAAAAAATTTAAAGAAAACTAGTCAGGTGTGATGGTGCATGCTTGTAATCCCAGATATTCGGGAGGCTGAGGTGGGAGGGCTGCTTGAGCCCAAGATGCTGAGGCTACAGTGAGCTGTGATCATGCCATTGCACTCCAGGCTGGCTGAAAGAGTGAAATAGTAAGACCCTATCTTGTAAGTAAGATAGATAGATAGATAGATAACTATTCTACCAAAGATAATAATATGAAAAGACAGAACAAGATCCTGTCTCCAAAATAAGTAAATAAAAACTTCTGCTCTGCCAAAGACAATGTTAATATTATGAAAAGAAAAGCCACAGACTGTAAGAAAATACTTGCAACACAAAATTGAAATCAGAAATATAACGGACTCTTAAACCTATCAATAAGAAAACAAACAACCCACATTAAAATGGGGATAAGATACCTCACCAAACAGATACAGATGAAAAAGAAGTGTATGAAAAGATGCTCAACATCATGTCATTAGGAAATTATAAGTAAAAACTGACACCAATATGTACTTATTAGAATGGTTAAAATAAAAAAATTTAATTTCATTTCTTAAATTTCAAATTTTGAAATTTAAAATCATTCCACATAGTCCTCTTGTGAAAACTACCCAAAATAACAGTGAATTCAAGTGCAAAGAAAAAGCATAATAAAAACCCAAGAATAAAGAAGTAGTGATTATAGAAGCTGAGTATGGGGACTAAATCAAATTCAACATAGATTTGAAACTAAAAAATTACTGTAAATATGATTATAATAAATGTGAAAATTTGTGAAATATTAAAAGAAATTATTAGATGTAAATTTTCAATTTATGGACTTTAAACAACATTTGAAATGAGTGATAACAGTAAAAACCTAATGTACTCATCTTAATAATGTAATTTCAATATATCTTGCTTAAAATATTAAAAAAATTTTACTTCTCATGCATTTTTAAAGTACATTAGTCAGAAATTGAAATTTATTGCATAAAATACATGAGAACAGATTTTAAACAGACTACTTAGCACTGAAAGTAACTACTTTCAAGAGTTAACACCCATAATTTGTCTCCTATATTACATAAAGGATATGAAAGACAAGAATAAGAGGAAGTAAGATTTTTTTTTTCAGGTAACTAAGCAAATATGATAAAGAGGGAAAGGAGAAAAGAATTATATAAGATGTGAGCATGCATTGAAATATTGTGTAATTGCAAGTTAGGGTTAAACAATAAATAGTAATGATGTAGGAAAAATAAAAAGAATGAATGATATGATAGTTCCCTAACCTATAATTATCAAAGGTAAAAACCCTACCTTGCGGCATTGACGTAAAGAATAAATGAGAGAACACAGATAAAAAGACACATAGTACATGCTCAATAAAGGCTAGTTTCTTTTTCCACTGGCAATCTCTACTTCTTCAAGGACAAAGACCGAGTTGGAACAAACATCAATTGACAATTTGTCACTAGGAGGATAAATAAGGGGAAAAAAGGTCTGCTATACTCAAACATACCACCCTAATTTATAAAGTTTTACATGTCTTCTATGATTAAAAAAGAAAAAACCAAAAGATTAAAATGCTACAAAATGATGAAATGAAAAACATTTTCAGTATTATATAAAATAAGAATCATCACATGCTAACAAACACCAGAAATCAACAGCTTTTACCATAGTTTTTTCCTGATCCTCGGGGTCCAATAATGAGTACAGAGTTACTTTCTCCATGGATAGCAGTTCTTTTTAGCAGCTCACTTAAGTGTCTAAAATGACATAAATAGGATAAACTTTACAAAATGAAGCTGGAATAATTTGTTAGGTTGTAGTTTTTAAAAGGCGTATTGGAATATACACAGAAATTTCCTCTCTCTTCTCTGGGCACTTGGCCTAGCCTCTGAATGGTCCAAAATAGAATTCCTCTCTTCTCTTCCTCTGGGCCTAGCCTCTGAATGGTCCAAAATAGAAAAACACAAAAGAAACAGTAGAGCAGTACTGATTCTCTGAAATCTTCAAGTGAAAAACGTAGTCAGTTGGAATATATTGAATTTTATGATGGTAAGGGACAAGGGACAATAGTGGCCACTCTCAGGACCCTTTGATTCAAATTTCTTTTCCTACTAATACTTTGGACTTTTACTCTATAGCTGGCTGCTGGGTATTAAGGGCCAGATGGTTAGAATTCTCTTCATAGTATCAGATAACAGGAACAAAACAAGATTGAAAGTTAAAGTGCTTTCTCATTATGGATGTATTTGTATCTGCTCCTGCTTCATGATATGTGGTGCCTCCATACACAAGGCAAAATTTTTTACTTCTATAAAAGGGTTTGTTAGCTTTATTTAATATCAAATTTGTTACAATAATTTTTGCAAACCTGGAAGGCATCTGTAAGTAGGTCCATAACAGTCAAAGGGACAACTAGACTTACTTGTATTGTACTTGCACTCCAAACAGGTTACTATGTGGACTCTGATGACAAAATCTTTCACGTAAAATTCTTTGTACCTGATGAAAATAAAGTGAATAAATATAAATAAAAATATTACACGAAATAAAAAATGAATGAGAATACACATTTACAATAGTCAGAATCAGGAATTAATGAACCAATTCAACCCTCTCTAAATTCTTATCCTCTAGAGTTCTGATTATCATTTTCATAAGTTATCAAATTAATGGTCTTCTTACCTATCTCAAGTCCCATAGGAAGAATAAGAATTTAGTTAGGAAGGTTTCAACAAGAGGGAGAATCACTTACTTTAGCTATATTAGCAACTTAAGGGCTGTTTTAAAGCATGTGAATGAGTTAAGAAAAAAAAATTGTTATAAGAAGCTATATTTTGAGTTTACTTTAGAACGAGGGCCTTAGACTTAGTCATGAAAAATTATGTCAAATAATCTAGCACAGTCTTTAAAAAAATGGACCATTAAAGTCATTCCTTTTTGTGGATCTGCAGCTAATAAAGAGGTCTTTCAGGGACAAAAGCCTTAGGGTGCTATCTCCGATTTGACCCCATGGACTGGAATTAAAAACCTCCAAGAATATTTGCTTCTCCCAGACTGATAGACTGGAACTAATCCTTCATGTATCAAAGAAATAAATTTGAGTTCTTCTTCCATGTACAGAGGCTAAGCAACGAAAATGACTCACTAGGGACAAAACAATCCATACTTGTTCATTATAAAGTAAGTTAAAAAATAAGGGCATTGACTCTAGAAGCTATTATATGAATTTTAAACATTAACTCTTTTCTAAATTTTAATTTATTTATCTATAAAATAGGGACAATAACACCTTGTGGCAGGCCTGTTTTAAAGATTAAAAAAGGGGGCGGAGCACAGTGGCTCATGTCTGTAAGCCCAACACTTTGAGAGGTTAAGAAGGGCAGATTGCTTGAGGTTAGGGGTTCAAGAACAGCCTGGCCAACAAGGTTGAAATCTCTTCTCTACTAAAAATTCAAAAATTAGCCGGGCATGGTGGCAGGTGCCTGTAATAGCAGCTACTTGGGAGGTTGAGGCAGTTCTGCATGAACCCAGGAGGCTGTAGTTGCAGTGAGCTGAGATTACACCACTGCATTCCAGCCAGGATGACAGAGCAAGACTTGGTCTCAAAAAAAAAAAAAAAGATTGAAAAAGGCAATTATCTATAACACAAATAGGCTTTGTACAGGTAATAGCTAATATCTGTAAAATATATATAAAAGAACATATACTATGCACTCAACTAATCATAATATGTATTCCTCTACCTAGATGAGATCAAAAGAAAAAACTCAATCCTTTCCTTAAAAAGAAAAAAACTCATACACAAAACCTCATTAAAATCTCTTAGTGGCAATAACTGTATGTAAAACATAAGCTAGATATAAAAGAATTAAAGTTGTAGTGACTAGTTAGAAGGTTCATAAATCCCAAAGTGATCTGGCATGGAAGTTAAATAGGTATATACATGTATTGAAATTAATTCAGCTGTACTTGAAGGATTTGAGCACTTTACATACAAAGGTACATAACAGCATATCTCAGTTAAATTTTTTTGTTTTTTTAGAAATAGAGTTAAACAACTTCCTTCAAAAAGAAAGCCAAGTCTTATAAAGGAAAACAGTAACATTTAATTTTGTTTAAAAACTAAATGTAGTTCAGGTCAAGCTAGATAAATACACATGTCAGGGTAGAAATATCATGCTCATTTCCCTACTAGACTATAAGCTTCTTATGGAAGAGACTTACAGAGATGCCCAGCCCTTGGAATACAGTATACACTTCTGATAACATTAATTATAAAAACACTCAACAGGCGAGGAACGTAACAGAACTTCCTCAACTTAATAAAGGGCATCTGTGAAAAACCCCAAAGCTAACATCATACGTAATGGTGAAAGACTGAACGCTGTCCCTCTAAGATGAAAACATAGACAAGAATGTCCATTCTTCCCATTCCTATTCAACATTTTAAAGACAGTACAAGCCAGGGCAATTAGGCAAGAAAAGGTGGTAAAAAGGCAGCCAGATTGGAAAGAAAGAAGCAAAAGTTAGAATTCTAACTACTTAATAGAATTAATAAGGCTTAATAAGGATAAAATCAAATTGTAGTATAAAACACTAATATTAAAAACACCAATATGAACTGACATAAAGGGTAGAGAACAATCAGAACAACAAAATCTGTTGGTCCACATTTAATTTTGACAGAGTTTAGAAAATTCTGCTTCCAGATGATTGTTCATATAAACTTACATTGATATCTCCTTAAGGATAGAAAGAGTGATTCTTTCTATGTGCTAAAGGGAAAATTCAAGTTAAGACGTTAACTATTTCTCTGAACACCTTTACAGGGTAACAGGTCTTGAGATTAATGAAAATACATACTAACCTGTGAAAGGCATTCTGCGTGAATTAAGCTGTTACTCTTTGATTTACGACTGCTCATTTCAACACATTCAAATCCTTTAAAAAATTAGCATAAATATTATAAACATAGTGACTTAAAGAGATTATTTAAGAATCTACTATTCTAGAATTAAAATAAATACAAGTTTTTAACTGTAAAAAGTGCTGAAACCTTAAGACCTTCCAAATCTTTAATGGCTTCATTTTGTCCAAGTACAGGCTCATTAAACACTCTCATACCACACTTCAAGCACACCTTGTTTTATTGTGCTTTGCTTTAATGTGCTTTGCAGACAGTGTAATTTTTTTTTTAAAGCAAATTTTGTAGCAACTCTGTCCAACAAGTCGATAGGCACCATTTTTCAAACACCGTGTTTCCATTTTGTGTCTGTCGGCATTTTTAGCAATAAGGTATTTTAAAATTAAGTATGTACATTTTTTAGACAGTACTATTGCACACTTAATAGACTAGTATAATGTAAATATAAATGTATGCACTGAGGAAAGTTTTGTGTGATTCACTTTATTGTGATATTTGCTTCACTGCAGTGGTCTAGAACTGAACATATAATACCTCCAAGCAAGTACGTGGTTTTTAGAGCTACTCCCATCTTTCCATTAAATCTTCTATTCACTTTCTCTTTCTTTCTCTAACTTATATGCTTTCTTTATGTCTCACCCATCCATCCCCAGGATAATCCCTTACAGAAAACCCTCCCTTTCTTGCTCCAGTCACCAACCACACCAAAAAAAAATAATTAAAGACTAGGTTAAATGCCTCTGTTTAAACACTCATAAGTGCCTGTATTTCTCTTTCTTTATAACAGATTATTTTAAACAAAACTGTCTAATTGCTAATGTTTCCAAATTGAGGATTTTTTATATTCCAAGCATTATAGCATAATGCCCAAAACTAACTTGGCAATTAATAACTGGGATGAAAAAAAATACTAATGAAAAATATATAAATTTTGTAAAATTCTCCTCAAGGGTACCATACTCATAGACAAATGCCTTTGAGTGTAAGATCTATTTTCTTAGCACTGACTTCCTATAGGAATACTTTAACAGTTAGGCAATAACAGCTTAAGCAGTGTTTACGTAGGTATCAGGGATTGTTACAAATGCTTTTTGCATTTATCAACTCATTTAATCCTCAGAATTGCCCTATGGAATAACCACTATTATAAACCTTCCTTAAGATTAGAAGACACAGAAAGGCTAAATATCTTGACCAAAATCAGTTTGTAAATGGAAGAGCCAGGATTTAGATCAAGTTAACTATTTTTTTTTTTTTAAGTGTATTCTGGTCTCATCTAATCTCCAGAAGGAACACAGCTTTGCTGACACCCTGAATTTATTAGCCCAGTGAAAGCCATTTTGGAACTTTTTTTACCACCAGAACTCATAAAACTCAAGAAAAGCTGACCTATCATCAAATTACCAATGATTGACATTATTATAATGTGAGAAAGAAGGCAGCAAGATGAAACAGGAGGATCTTCAGCTTGTGGAGGCCCAAATAGCAACAATAATTTCACAGCCACCACAGACAAAAGTGTCTTTTTGTTAGCCTTGAGATTCAGGCAGGAGTCTGTGTAGTCCCAGTGGGGCCCAAGACCTGGGAAAGTCAATTTGAGGGCAGATCTTTGTTCAAGTGACAGACTTCCCAACTGTGGTCCAGGTTCCAGACTTGGAAAGGGCCCTGTCCTCCAGAGGGCTTAGCTAGAACCTGACAGGACCTTGTTACCAGGGCCTGTAGCAGGATGTGAACCCTATCTGGTCCCTTGGTAGACTGGACTTTTCCTAAGACCTAGGTCTGTACAGGAGATAAAGATATACATAGAAAGATCTGTTATTAGGTGTGTAGATGGTGTGGCTTTCTCTTGGAACCTAGGAGGGCTCCTACTGGATCACTGAATAGATACCTGAGCAGGCAGTATTGTCCTAGTCCTCAGTCACCAAAAGTCCTCTGGCTCCAGGCTTCCGAATTGAAAATTAAATAATAGCATCTTCTTTCTTAGAAGAAAAGTGGTCTTCTCAGCTGCCTTAGGACACCTTTTAGCAGTCTTTTCTGTCTAAAGTTTTATCTTATTCCATTTAAGTTTTTATTTTTCCTAATGAGTGTTATGAGAGGGAAAAACCTTTTTAGCAACATAAAATATCCTCAACGCTGGTTTATGATGCTCTTGACCATCAGCCAAAATCTGAAATCACAAGGAACTATGTAATAATTGTTTCCTAGAAAATAAGGCTAATTAAAATGTAAAAAAGAGAAAGGGCTTTTGCAGTATGTTTTATTTTGTAGAACTATATTAGTTATCTTACAGTATTGTTAGAATTAAAAGATATTTTTATGTACTTCATGAATTAAGAAAGCATTACTCAGAAAAGCTAAATAAATGTCCACAGTTCCCAGGCAGGTATCTAATCTGCCTCTTTGTATCCAATAGTAAGCTATTAAGATCATTCATTTTTTCTTCATTTGGGGCTATCATTCATAAAAGAAACAACAAACACTCCACTATTGTATCTACCTTATAACCTACATAAATTTTGACTGTAAATAAAGTTTTAGTCCAAAGGTTATTTTGATATCTCGCCCCTTCATGTAAGGGTCAAGTATCTACTACATAATGAATATTTCAAAGACAATTCTGACAGTACAGATGAGATAAGCTTCAGACATTTGCAAACTGCATATCTGACAAAAGATCTGTATCTAAAAAACATTCAAAACTCAATAATAAAAAAAGAAGCAATCAAATTAGAAAACTGGCAAAATATATAAGTAGACCTTTCACCAAAGAAGATATGCAGGTGGCAAATAAGCATATGGGAAGATGTTTAATATCATTATTCATTATGAAAATGCAAATTGAAACCATAGTAAGATATCACTATACATCTATTAGGGAAGCTAAAATAACTCAAAGATGGCAAGGATGTAAAGAAAATGAATCTTTCATTTAACCACTGGTAGGAATGTACAATGGCATGGCTACTCTGAAAAGTTTATGTGTAGTTAGAAAACTACACATACGGGGAGAGAATGATCCAAGATGGCCGATCGCTAACATCCCGGGATTGCAGCTCTCAGGGAAGGCGCGGAGAACTAGAGGACGCCACACTTTCAGACAAAGTCTGGTCGCTCACGGAGCAGAAGATCCCCCAGTGGTGGAAACACAAGAGTCGCCATTGCGACTCTCGTGGTCGGCACAGCGGTTCCGCCGGTACATCGACGCGGCAGCGCTCGGCGCAGAGTAAACAGGACCGGTTCCCCTTCTGACCAAGGTTTGGAGCCCCGGGAAGGCAGAGTCGCCTACTACAGAAACAAGAAGGAAGCCAGACAGGAGAATCCTGGGCAGAAAAGCACCATCAGTTTTAACGCCGCTGCTCTGGCCCTGGGAACTAACAACATGGAGGTCCACTCAAGAGACCTAATCTGAAAGTTGGTAATTTCAAAGACGACAGGAGGATAAATTTACAATGACGGGAAGAAACCAGCGTAAAAAAGCTGAGAATACTCAAAGTCAGAACGCCTCTCCCTCTAAAGATGATCACAGTTCCACATCAACAATGGAACAAGGCTTGATGGGGAACGAGCGCCTCCTGATGACAGAATCACTCTTCAAGGAATGGATAATAACAAACTTCGGTGAGTTAAAAGAACATGTTGTAGCCCAACGTAAAGAAACTAGGAACTTTGAAAAAAGGTTTGATGAAATCCTATTGAGAATAGACAATTTAGAGAGGAGTATGAGTGAATTAATGGAACTGAAGAATACAATACAGGAACTCCGAGAAGTATGCACAGGTTTAAACACTCAAATTGTTCAAGCAGAAGAAGGGATATCAGAGTTTGTCCAACTTAACGAAATAAAACGTGAAGAAAAGATTAGAGAAAAAAGGATAAAAAGGAATGAGCAAAGTCTCCAAGAAATGTGGGACTATGTGAAAAGACCAAATTTACGTTTGATAGGTGTACCTGAATGCGACGGAGAGAATGAATCCAAGCTGGAAAATACCCTTCAGGATATTATTCAGGAAAATTTTCCTAAACTAGCAAAGCAGGTCAACATTCAACTCCAGGTAATACAGAGAACACCACAAAGATATTCCTCAAGAAGAGCAACCCCAAGGAACATAATCGTTAGATTCACCAGGGTTGAAACGAAGGAGAGGATACTAAGGGCAGCCAGAGAGAAAGGTCAGATTACCCACAAAGGCAAGCCTATCAGACTTACAGCAGATCTCTCGGCAGAAACTCTAAAGGCCAGAAGAGAGTGGGGGCCAATATTCAACATCCTCAAAGAACAGAACCTTCAGCCCAGAATTTCATATCCAGCCAAACTAAGCTTCACAACTGAAGGAAAAATAAAATCTTTTATGAACAAGCAAGAACTCAGAGATTTTATTACCACCACGCCTGCTTTACAAGAGCTTCTGAAAGAAGCATTACACACATAAAGAAACAACCAGTATTAGCCTTTCTAAAAATACACCAAAAAGTAAAGAGCACCAACATAAAGAAGAATTTACACCAACAAATGGATAAAACAGCCAGTCAACATCAAATGGCAGTAACCCTAAATTTAAATTGACTGAATTCCCAACCAAAAGACACAGCCAAAACCCAACGGCATGTTACATCCAGACCTGTTTCACATGCAAGGATACACAAAGACTCAAAACAAAGGGATGGAGAAAGATTTACCAACCAAATGGAGAGCAAAAATAAATAATAAATAAATAAAAAGCAGGAGTTGCAATTCTCGTATCGGATAAAATAGATTTTAAAGCAACAAAGATATAGTGGTAAAAGGATCAATGCAACAACAAGAGCTAACGATCCTAACACCCAGATAGGAGACTTAGATTCAATGAGACAGAAAATTAGTAAGGATATCAAGGACTCGAACTCAGATCCAGAACAAGTAAACTTAATAAATATTTATAGAGCTCTCCACTTCAAATACACAAAATATACATTCTTGTCAATACCACACCATACCCACCCATTAGTTTAAATGAAACATTGATTGGCCATTATTAAT